CTGCAGATTTTCAATAACACATGAAAATGAATACATAATATTACAAAAGATGTGAGTTTTCAAAAGTACAAGATTTTGGTTACTATTCAAAATATAAGTGTTTCTTCAAAATTTTAAATTTATTTTTTCTAGAACATATTTAGAAACACTATCCTTTAAAAAATATATAAATTTTATGAATTAATTAAATTTCACATATGAATATAGGTTTTTGACATTTTCGACATTTTTGACAATGAGGTTTTTGACGTGACGGTTTAAACCATGGTTTAAACTGTCAAAAACTGTCACATGTCAAAAACCTGCCAACCCTGACTAGTAAACATATTTAAAAAACTTTTTTTTTAATTAAATAGACCATGTGTTTTACCTTTGAAACATTCCATAACATTATTTTTTAACTCCAGTTTTAATCATTTTAAGACATTTATCATCTTAAAGTAAAAACAATGGTGACTACAAATCATATTAGAAATCGTGAAACAAGTAGTGTAATAAAATTGTAAATTTTAGAGTATTAATAAATTTTTTTGATCCAAATCATTAGCAAATTTGAAAAATTCAACTTTTTTTACAATAGAATGAGCCATCATTTTTATCAATTTGTTAGTTTGAAATTTTACCCCCTTGGTATAGCAAATCATGGAATGGGCCTCCTTTACATTGATTGCTGGACAGGGACACCACTGATAGTAATTTTATGATAGTTTGAGTTAAAATTCAGTAGTCTCAGACCAAAGAATTTACATTAATTTCAGATACCATATTATTCAAAAATTTGTTGTAAAATTTACGAATTTCTTATAAATTAAACAAGAAAATTTTTTTTAGGATACGACGATAATTATTATAAATCAGTTCATCAAGTTTTCCTTTTTTTCTCCATTGATACAGTCAATCCCATTTTCCAATCATTTGGCATCTCAAACCCTCTCTAAATAATTATAAAACAAATTCACTCTTTATCTTCCATTGATGACATAATTGTTTATCATAATATTATATGTAACTCAACATAATATTATACGTATTCTAGCACTTTATTTAAAATTAAAGCAAATAATATGAAGGTTGGCCATTAAAATTGCTATAAGTTTATACTTATTTTAACTATATAATAAGAATAATTTTGCTAAAACTGTAACTATACCTACGTTGTTTTTAAACTACAAGTTATGGTTTTTATTTTTCTTCAATAACATACTATTTTATGCATTTTCTTTAAAAAACTGTTGAAGTTAGGACAATGTCTTTCAGTGGAAAATGTCATTACTTGCCAACAATCTATTAATTTCATTAATTGCTAAAACCATTATTTTACCTACTGTCTTGTCGATATATGTAATTGCAATTCCAACTGTTCTTGATATCTTTGTGGGGGAAAAAAAGGCTAAATCTTGTTTTGTGGTTAGGACAAATTAGACTTCTATTAAGTTAACTCTTACAAGGAAGATATAATACGGTTGAAAGAAAATACCAAGACATAAGAGCATTTGGGAGGATTTCCATATCATGTAGAATAATCGCCAAGCCTTGGTAACTTCCTGTCCCACGAGAAACTTTAAAAAAAACTAAACTCGAAGGGTATTATTTATAGTCAACCCCAAACAAAACACTGGAGGCTTTTTTTAAAAATAAAAAAAATTTGCAAGTTAAAAATCAATTTGGCGGCTTAGTGATTGTAGTTGGCGCAACAGATCATGATACGGAAAGATCCCTTACCATTTGCTAATAAAAAGTTAGTCATACTCACCCGATTTAATCAAATTTTTAAAAAGAGACAAGAATTTCTTTATAAATAGGTCGGTAATTAAAATTTATCAATAATAAGCTTTAGCATTTTCCTCTAAGAGATTTTCAATAATTTTAATTTTTAAATTAAATAAGAGTCTCTAGCAGTATAATTTATTTCAAATTAGATACAGAACATTAACGTTATAAATTAAGAAAATGAGAGTTTATACTTACGAATGACAACAACTGCAATCAATTTCACAGCAAGATCAGGTGCCTCACATATACCATAAAAAGGCTGCAATATGTACTCAGCAAAAGTCAAGGCAATAATGGCATTCCCTGTAGGCATGATGATAAGTAATGCAACCCATAGGTATAAAAATGCCATCAGACCACCAAAGCTTTCATTCAAATAAGCAAATTCACCTCCAGATTTAGGAATTGCAGCTCCAAGTTCTGCATAGCAGCAGGCTCCAAATGTTGATAATAAGCCGCATAGCGTCCATATAATAAGAGACATTAACACAGAACCTGCATTTAAAAGTACCCCTTTTGGAGAAACAAATATTCCAGAGCCGACTATAACTCCGACAATTACGCCAATTCCATCAAAAACACCAAGTTCTCTTTTTAATGCTACCTGCTCAGGTATTCCATCACAATCATTTAAAGAACTAAAAGAGGCTTTATTTTCCGTAATTCTCTTGTCATTCGATGTCATCTTGAAACAACAACAAACAATTCTTAATCTATGCTACAAATTTGTTGAACAGACTGTCTTCACCGGAGTACACTTCCAAGACGTCTTTCTACTTCTTACAAACACGTGTTAAATAACCATCAAAACAGTAAAGAAAACAAATTCAAAGCGGAACAGGAAATGCGACATAAATAAGAAGAGTTGCATCCTTACTTGTGGGAATGTGAATAAAACCAATCCATATCCTGGTAAATCAATTTTAACCAATCATAATGTAGAAAGGTTAAGAAAGGTGAAATTTTGACGAATGAAATCAAAGAAGAATACAGTATTTACTACTTACAATTTGTTATGTTTGCAAAACTTTCGTTAAAATCGTGAAAAGTTTTAGACTCAGAAAAACGACTTAACTAACGCCTGAACTTCTACCTTATATCAATCAGAACTTTTTTTAGGTAGAAAACCGATCAATCTATCAATTAAAACAGAAGCTCTGACTGATTCTATTTATGGTCAATTTAAATTCTGCCGCATAGGTATTTAAAATTATATAAAAGAAATAGAGATATTTCTTAAAATTTATAAACAAATTCGTTTATCATTACTATTTTAAATTGTTTTCATAATACTTGTTTGATTTACAATGCTCTTTAATGAATAAATTTCTGATACTAATGTTTTGTCTCAGGTTTTATACCATATTCCAATTTATTTTGTTGTCTTGTTCAATAGGATACCTTTAAAATCCAGCATCCTATCAAGTTTCATTTATTTCCTGCTATAATTTATTGCTACCTTATGATTGTTACTTTTAAAAAAAAAGTTGCTGATAGCGTTATATTTTGTTTATGTGATCGTAAATAATATACGATTATTATAGTCTATTTTCTGGTAGTTTAAATTATTTGTAAGCTAGTTTAGAATGAAATCTTGCAATACTTATGAAGGTAGTTTCATAATAAATATGAAAAAATTCCTTTAAAGTGACTCTTACTCTGATATCCTTATAAAAAATACTTATTTCCAATGATTTTACTTATAAATATTTTTAGCAATAACTTTCAAAAAGTCTCTCTTTACCAGAAAACCATTTTTTTTTTTTATCATGTTATGTACTTAATGAAGTCTTCAATTTCTGAGCAGTAGTTAGCCACTATTTCAAATACTCTATAAAAGAGTATTACTTTAATGTCTACCAATATTTTCTAATTGTTGTTATTTGAAGTAATCAATAGAACTGTCTAATAACTACCTATTAGATGATAAATAAGAATTAAATTTCAACAATTCTTGATATCTGAAGAAAAACATGTGTTAAATACAGTTCACATTAAATTATATGATTTGATTTTATTGCACAGGGTATAATAATAATTTTTTATATTATTTGATATAACAAGAAAGTCACTGCCAAAGCTATGTTTTCGCTGGAGCTGGAGTTTTCTAGTAATTTTATTGTATCCCACAGAATTCAAGAGATCTGCAGCATTGTAACAGCATTACATGTTAGCTTAGTTGCTGCAAAATGACTAAATTGAAATAATTTGGCATTAAAATAATTTAAGATCAAATATGAAGGAGGATTTACTAGTTTCCAATTCCTTTCTTGAGAATAAACAAATGACACAACTGTTTTTACTGTTATTTTCTGTGTGAGCTCGTTATTATTTTTTAATGCTCCTTTTTATAGAATAAAAAAAATTCATATTAAAATTTTAAATTCTGAACAGTGCTTAAATATACAGTAAATTTGCCGGAATCTTACCTGAACCGAAGCTTTATCTTCTGGCAGCAGAACTAGTGTATTGAAAATTTTGCGGCTCTGGGTCCCTGCAACTCATAATTTCCTACACTTATGTAGCTGATACTGTACCACAAAAAGAGTTTTTAATGCCAGACCAGTTGGCGCAGAAAAAAGAGGCGGGCCGAATTTGGTCTAGAGAAAGACCTTTTGGTTTAAAAAACAAAAAATTGAAAAACACTAGCAAAAAAAAGATTAGCCTGTAAAAAAACTTCTTGAGAAGGCCAAACCTGGGCTGTCGAGCCATTCATTATGATAAATAGCTGATAGCTTTTTCTCTAACCAAGAAGTTTGTAATTAAACCATTATTTTGTGGAAGCAAAATACTGTTTTGAAAGAATGTTGAATCTTGATATTCTTATATAACAATTATGCTACATAGGATTTCATCAAAATTAACTATTGTTTAATTATCTTATTATTAATATATTAATTTTTCTAAATAATTCATAAAAAATTTCAGATTAACTGATAAATATGGCTGGTGATTCAGCATCCAACATTGAAGTGGAAGGTTTACCGATAGGACCTAAATCTGGCGTTAAATATCCAATGGAAGTAACATATTGTGGAGGTAATTTTTTAAAATTTATTTGTTGTATTTATATGTTATTCAAAAAGTATTTAAATTATCACAAAGATAAGTATTTTTATCTAAAAAGCATTAAAAGACTCTAAAAATTGAAATTTTTTAGTTTTAATTATTTCAATTAAAGGGAATATAATATTCCCTCCAAGCTTTTTTTTAGACTATAACTGGAAAGATTTTGTTTTTTCAAATGTTGGTTATACAAAAGATCCTAACATTACTTAAAAAATAATTTCACCCAATTAATGAAAATGTAGTCAACTATACTAATAAAGTGTTTGAATTCTAATTTGATAATGATTGCAGCCTATTCACAGTTGTGTTTTGGTTGTATGGTGTCCACAGTTTTTATAATCTTTTGTTATTAATACATAGTTTAATGTAATGGACTTTTTTTATGCAAAATTTCACGTTTTGGTTAAATGGTGCCGACAGTATTTATAACCTTTTGTTATATATATTCGTACCTGCCAAGTCTCCTGTTTTTTAACAAAGACTCCCGTGTTTTACGACTATCTGCAGTTTTCCTGTATGTTCTCAAATTTCCCCATATTTGTAAGAAATTGGCGAAAAAATATCTGCGGATGGCAAAAATACTTCTCTTATTCCTCAACAGATTGTGCTATTGCCTGCACTGCAGTATGTTGAGTGTCAATAAAGTAAGAGCGAGTCTCAATGGCTCAGGGCATAGAGGGTTCACCTTCCAATAAGGTGAACTGGGATTTGATCCCGACAATGGCTGGTCAATATGAATTCCGCATCCGGCTTGCACCGACCACAGTGTTGATGTGAAATATCCTCAGTGGTAATCCCCTTGCCGTCAGGCTAACAGTGGAGGGTTCTCATGGTCCTCTCCATGTAATGCAAATGCGGGTTAGTTCCATCAAAAAAGTCCTCCACTAAGGCAAATTTCTCCCAATACTCGATCCAGGAGGTCCCTTGTCTTCTAGATGGGGTTCAAAATTACAAGGCTACGGAGTTGGACGTTAGTAGTCGTAAACCCAAAAATTGGGTCGGTTGTTCAACGACGGTTATAAAATAAAATAAAGTAAGAACCGCAATGGCTCAGGGGATAAAGCGTTCACCTTCCAATAATGTGATCAGGGATCGAAGGCTGGTAGATACAAATCTGCATCCGGCTTGCACGGACCACAGTGCTGACATGAAATATCCTCAGTGGTAGATGGATCGTGGGTTAGAGTCCCTTTGCCGTCAAGCTAGCATTAGAAAGTTTACGTAGTCTTCCTCTCCATGTAACACAAAGGTGGGTTAGTTTCATCAAAAAGTCCTCCTCAAAGGCAAATTTCTCTTCCAATATTTGATCCAGGAGTTCCCTCGTCTTTTAGATTGGGTTCAAAATTACAAGGCTACGGAGTTGATCATTAGTAGTCGTAAACCAAAAAAATTGGGTCGGCTGTTCAATGAGGGTTATAAAATTAAAATAAATAGTTAAAGTAAAAATATCCTTAGTGGTAGATGGATCATTGGTTAGAATCCACTTGCCATCAAGCTAGCCATGGGACGTTTTCGTGGTTTTATTCCATCCATGTGGATTAATTCCATCAAAAAGTCCTTCACGAAGACGAATTTCTCCCAATACATGATCAGGAGTTTCTTTGTCTTCTGAATATGGTTTTAAAATTACAGGGCTACAGAGTTAAATATTAGTATTCATAAACTCAAAAAATTGGCTCGGCTGTTCAGCAACGGTTGTAAAATGAAATAGTTTAAATAATCATAAATAATAACGCCCAGCGGATGGGCGGTAGCGCTTCGCCCTGCAGTGCCACAGGTCCCTGGTTCGATCCTCGGGCCGGGCAGGGTTGACTCAGCCTTCCATCCCTTCAGTGGGTCGATAAATGAGTACCAAGCATGCTTGGGAACTAAACACTGGGGGTTCCGCGTTCGGCTGACCACCTGACCGGAACATCTGCTTCTGCACCCCAGAGCCCAAAGTCAAGAAAACTGAGATGGGCACAGTAGGCCTTGGCCCTCTAGGGCTGTTGCACCGCTGAGTTGAGTAATTATAAATAATAGTTTAAAAAATCTGTTTTAGATTAAGATTTATATGCATATTTTTTACCTCGCTAAATGTAAGTGGTTACATCATTTTCAATTTCTCTTTTTGACTTACATGATTATGCATGATGTAAAACTTTACAAGTAGCCTAAAAAATGTCGCTAATTAAATCTCCTTTATTTTATTTCTCCAATGTTGGCAGGCATGTAAATGCGGGTACTAGGTCTCTAATTATTTTTTATATGGTCCTGCAGTGGGCTGATCATGAAGACACTGTTCCCAGTAGAACATCCAAGTCAAGCATCACTGGCTGCGGTCTGTAATTGGGTGGGTGACCACTTTGATCAGTCTGCATAGATACTGAATGTGCACGATATCAGTCCTTGTTAAACTTTTTTGTCGTAAAGTGCTTGACTTCATACACATGTCCTCGGGCTACTAAAATCAGAGGAGCCACGCCCTATGCAGAGGATCAAAGTTCTGATAACATGTCCTTGACCGTCACCAATAGCCCATTTTGCAGCTCTAGTGCGACATAAATAAAAGTACCTAATTTATATATTTAAATTTTTTTATATACTTATAGTAATAATTTAAAATCTAATAGTATGTATTGAAATAGATCAATAGTATGTAGTTGAAAATCTGAATGTATAATAGTGAACAATTTCAAAGAAATTGTTTAAAATATGTTAATAAGTCCTCGTTCCTCATATTTAATAAATTCAGGGCTCTCGACAACAAAAAAGTTAAGAGGTCATTTCTTTTTTTCCTTTCCTTCCAGACGCGGATTCGTACCTAGGTTAGTAAAACCCTTACCCCTATAACCTGCGTCTGGCAACTTCTTCCAGCCAACCTCAATCAATTATTTAAAGTTTCAAAAGAAAGGAGTTAAGAGGTCAATGAAATTTGATGAATTTTTGTGACTGTTGCTGCTCGAAATCATTATCATATCTAATAATTTCCCCTGAGGGAGAATTTTTTCGAGCTCTCTAGCACTAATATCTTTCTGTAAGATAATTTTAATAGTAACAAACATATATGGTATTAATTTAAAATAACAAAAGCACTGTGATTACAAAAAGAAATGTTATAATTTTTTTTACTTGAACAAGTAATAATTTTTTATTCTAATATTATGGGTGATACTCTCGCATTTCGTTGAGGGGTACACAAATTATTCCCTTCTTCGCATTTTATAAATAATCATCACAATAAAAAAAATAATTATAAATCATAGAATCCATAGTAGTAATTGAGAAAAAAAATCACTCGAATCGGGCTCCTCAAATGCATGTTTTGTTTTGAGATTAGGTTGTTTTAATAAATAATATCGCATAAAAAAATATCTGATTTAAAAACTATGAAGAAATCAACAGCAATAACTGCCACAAATTCGATAGAATTATTGCCTTAAGGTGTAAATACTGAAATGCACCTTTCGAATTTTCCATGTTTGAAATATACCGGGATATTTAAAATCCTGGTGAAAATCAGTATCAATAACTGCCAAAAATATAATCGAAACATTGCACCAATTTACGATTCTATTGGCTTGGCGTAAATTGAATGCATCAAAAAGTGATTATTTCAATGCATGATTCAAATATTAGGTGTACATTTCTGTAGAAAATAAAAGTATTTTTTTTTACTTTTCAAAAAAAAAATCTTTCTATAAGAAGTCTGTATCATTCTGCGATAATGTCACCGTATCGCTGCGATTCTGCCACAAGCATAATTTCATTTAATGTATTATAAACAAGAGATTTACTCCTTTTAAGTGTTGAATGATTTTATGCTAGATTATCCTTCCATTCTAACTTTTATGATTTAAATTTGATTTGTATATTTTAGTGCCATTCTGTTTTTAAATCCTTTAAAGTATAATATTTTACAAAGCGTACTATTATTTTATGTTATAAAGCTTAAATAAATATAAAAAAAAACTGTTGAAAATTTGGAAAAAGACAAACAAAAAAAATTTATAGCTTTATTGCAAGTGATCAAATATATAATGTGACGTATACCTACTCTTTGTCCTTCTCCCACTCAGAACATGCAATTAGAAAAATGTAGAATGTTTAACAATATCCTTTGTAAGATATTTAAAACAACTTTTTTGGTATGATTATTGAAATTCTACTAATTAATAAAATCATTGCTTTAATTAAAATATTTTTCTTATTAAATTTTAATATACATTTTCTTTTGTTTCAGAATGTTCTATGCCTTTAGAAGTATGTATTATTTTTTACTACTTCTGAATTTTTTATGAATTTGATGGTTATAATTCCCAATTATTAAACTATTAGATTTGTAAACTAACCCTAAAATTATAGTAGCCTCTATTTAATGTTACCACATCAATCTCTGTGTGTTTTAATTTAAGTTAGTAACTGAGTTCAGATTATCTCTCAGTAAAATGATTTGTATAAAAAGAGTAACCATACCTATACATTATATTTACCTCATTTATTTATTTTTCTACTTTTAACAGTACTGTGAATTTTATCCAAATTACGACAAATGTAAAGAATGGCTTCAGAAGAATTTGCCTGATGTCTTTGAACAGAAAATGAAACTAGGTAATAGTAAAGTTATTAATAAATTTGTAGAGATTACTGTTTTATTCTTTAAGTACAGTGGAAAGTCGCGTATCCGGAATCGGCGGGACTTTCCGAAGTCCGGATAATCGATTTTTCCGTATAATAGACCCCCAAGGTAAACAGAGATTAAAATGATCTGAATCTAAGAAGCAGAAATTAAATAACATTATTTTTCGGGCAATAATGTTTTAGTATTAGAATGATATCTAATCAATCAAAAACAAAGTACTTAAAAAATAATAATTATTGCTATTATAAAAATAAATATAGGAAACTAAAAAAATTTACAGTTATGAAAATATTAATTGCTCTCTCCGCCATTTTGAACTAGAACGTTTCAAGCAAGAAGGGGAAATTCCCGTCATTCATTCATTAAGGTGGGTAGGTGAAGAAGCAAAATTCATTTCCTTCTTACTTGTCATTCAAGTTGAAGGGGGGGAAGTGACAAGTTCTTATTTTCTCTCCTGTCATTGGCTATCAATCAAGCATAAAGGCGTGGCATGCTGATTGGGTTCTCTTTATTTTTTCTTGTGTGACTAAAGGGGATTCCCCCTCCACTTTAACGTTTGCTGTGTTTACCCTTTTTCACAGTACTTCTTTCCCTAACACTTTATCAAAAAGGTTCCAGGAAATGCCTCTTTTACTAGCCAGCTGCACAGGAAAGAAGGGGGGAGGGGACTCAATTGTGCTCTTTTAAAAACAAAGCTCCCCCCCCCCTTTCCTGCATTCCAGAGGAGGAGCGTTACTAACGGTACGGTCTTGGTAGATCTTCTGTTCTCTTTTCTGTTGATTTATGGGTTTAATGCAGTGGTCGCCAAAGTGGTCTATATAGACCCCCAGGGGTCTATTTAACAAAAGCGGGGGTCGATCTGAGACGGGGGCGAATGGGGGTCGATCCGAATCGGAAGGGTCGATTGTGGATCGAAAAAAAAAGTTCTCACTGCGCAAATCACACATACCTAATTAAGTATGTAAAATTCGTGAATTTTTATTTATAATTGACTCAATATCAGTTTCTTTATAAAACAAAAATTAATAAACGTATATTTATTGGGGTGAAACAAGTATTTACGTACCACCGCGCAGTGGCATGAACTCAGCGCAGTTTATAAGTCATATACAGATGTGAGTTTGTCCAAATGTCACGTGTGACGAGCATTGACATTACAAATGTAAATATCATACGCAGTTTCAGCTATCTTTGCAAACTGTGTTGAATATTTGCAGTGACATTATTAAAACTTTTATACAGGGTGTCCCAAAAGGTCGTTTACAAACTTAACATGCTGGTCTGTCATATCATGATGAACAAGATTTACATAGGAACTTGTGTCCGAAAATTAAAACTGCGACCGCTAGAGGGCGATTATTGCACGAAAACGGGAGAGTGGGAAAAACAATCATTTCAGGCGTGGACGTTGAAGGAGAAGGATGAATGAGTTTAGTTACGCAGAAATGGCCGACATGCATTACGTATACGGCGCCGCTGATGGAAATGGACGAGCCGCGGCACGGACGTACCTTGAGCTCTTCCCAAACAGACGTCAGCCAAGTCATGTTTTGTTTGGACGATTGCACCGCAGATTATGTGAATCAGGTGCTTCCGTAGCACGTAGCCACATCGGTCGAGAACGTGCTACACGCACACCTGCCGTAGAGGAAACCGTGCTACAAGAGTATGCCATCAACCCGCAAAGAAGTCTCCGAGAAGGCGAACGTGTCTTGGGTGTAGCTCGTTCCACCATAATGCGCATACTGCACGATGACATGCAACACCCTTACCACTTCCAAAAAGTACAGCCATTGTGCGCTGACCAATATCCCAAACGCATTGCATTCTCACCCTGGTATTTGCAACAGCGGGTCGCACAGCCAGGTTTTCTATCATGGATTTTGTTTTCTGATGAATCCTGCTTTACACGGGATGGTGTCGTGAACCTGCACAACATGCACGTATGGGCGCATGAAAACCCAAGATGTACACGTGCCCATGCACATCAACAATGTTTCAGCGTAAACGTTTGGGCTGGTATTATCGGTGACATGTTGATTGGCCCTTACCTTCTACCTTAACGCCTCGACGGAAATACCTATCACATTTTTTAGAAAGAGTTTTGCCGGATCTGATGGGTGACGTTCCAGCCGCTACACGCCGAAACATCTGGTTTCAGCATGATGGAGCGCCTGCCCACTTTAGCTACGCTGTTCGAGAATACCTCGATAGGATTTATCCTAATCGCTGGATCGGTAGAGGCGGACCAGTCCCATGGCCACCGCGATCCCCCGACCTGACACCCCTGGATTTCTACCTGTTGGGACACATGAAGTCCATAGTGTACGAGACACCTGTAACATCGGACATGGATCTTATCGCCAGGATCGCGGAAGCGGCAGCACGTGTCCGTGACACTCCTGGCCAATTTGAACGGGTTCGTGAATCCATGCGCCGACGCTGTGAAACGTGCATTGTGGCGAATGGAAGGAATTTTGAGCATTTGCTGTGATGTAATGATGTTTTATAATAAAAATCATATTAACACCGCTATCGATATCATTTTTTTACTCCTCATCCAAACCTGCACTTATCGCCCTCTAGCGGCCTCAGTTTTAATTTTCGGGACACAAGTTCCTATGTAAATCTTGTTCATCATGATATAACAGACCAGCATGTTAAATTTGTAAACGATCTTTTGGGACACCCTGTAGTTTTGGATAATTAGTTATTGTTTTGATAAAACCATTTGTTTGGTTTAGATATCAATTTTAATTATCAATGCACAAAAAAGAAGGTAAGCATTAATAATATGGATTAGTACAGCCCGCAACAAAACTACAGATACGAAAATTACAAAAATTACAAAATTTACCAATTTTGACGAAAATTAAAATTGACCAATTTTGAACCCAATATAGCGAACCTTGCAAAAAAACACCAGGCACACCCATCTCATTGATCAAGAAGCAGTAAACCATTAGTTACTTTACTTACTATATCTACTTATGCATAATTACTTATTATTTAATAATAAGGTATTTAAATTTCAATATTAATATATTTTTCATAAAACTGTTGTTACACAATGCACTATTACTTTAATAAATGTTTAAAATCATAAAATAAATGTACAAACACAGTATCTAATAGAGTTTTATTTTAATTAACAGAAAATTACTTTTGTGGGGGTCGATGGAGATTTCGAAAAATTATATAGGGGTCGATGATCAAAAAAGTTTGGCGACCCCTGGTTTAATGCATAGATCACTAGAAGCTAAGAAAGGAAAAAACCTGTCAAAATACTTTTTTTTTTTTTAAGAGAGTGGGGAAGATGAAGAAATGTTTGTTTATTTTGATTGTAAAAAAGTGTCCGGGAAATTGACCCTTCCGGAAAAGGGACGTCCGGATATGGGACGTTACACTGTAATTTGATTGTTTTAAAAAACTGATAATTTTAGTTATTCAGACCATTCTAATTTTAACTGCTTAGTTATTTCCATCAGTGTATTGAGTATGATTCTACCTAATCTTGCTTTTAGGTTAGTTCATACATTTTTGATGCTGCTTTTGTTACATACCTAACCTTATTAATATAATATGCATTTCATTAAAAAAAGTTTTTAGCGTCGTCATAAGAAATATTTTTTGTGAAAAAGTTTAGGCAACTATCTACATTTTAAAACCAGATTCAGAGCCTGTTAATTAGTACTCATAAATCATTTTAAGAATCAATATAAAAATCATTAATGCTACATTTAAGATATACCCCGAGAACAATGGTTAATTTTCAATATTACTTTTATTTGACAATAGTCATATTCAATACATTAGTCATTTACTTTTTCCAAAAAAAACCAGCTGATAAATTATTAAGATAACACTTGGTTATACAAAAGATATATGAATCAAAAATAATTAAATAATACTTGGAGTGAAGATAATTATTAAAAAAGTTGTGCACATGGGAAAAAATGTGCACATGGAAAAAAAAAGATTCTAATTAATTATTGCGTTCTCATTACTTACCAGATCAATATTAGAAATATTTTTAAAAAATTTATAAAAGTAGTTTACATTTTGGCGACATCTGAAATCGTGGGTGGATCCACCGCTACTGACCTACAGCTTCTTCACGTACAGCTCTCGCTTCGGACTCCTAGGAAAGAGAGGGGGGAAATAATCTTCTCTGCGCTCGGTACGTGAAGCTGCCTACTAAATGTTGTTGATTGATCTAACATGTTGCTATTTCACGCTTTAGTTGTCGAACGGGTGTTCAACGCTTGCATACGTCAGAGGGGGAGAAGTTTCTCTAAAATGTAAACGTTAACTATCCACTCCAGGCAAAATTATTCTCTCACTCTATTACTAATAATATAAAAAGTTTGTCCTTCATTACCACATATTATTTTTAGTCTGTGAGGTTTGGAAACTAGTCGCATATATGGCCTGTCGTTATAACACAACTATGGAACTACCCACCGACGTGTCAATATCAGAAGAATCTACTATTGTAAAAACTCGACTATTAGAATTGCAAAGTATTGGGTATGCCAAAATTTAGGACGCTTTAATAAATATAAATATCGTTTTTAATTTTTTGGTTGCGCTTATGCAATGCCAAAAATCTCAGTTTTTCATTGTATTGTATTTATTGGAAAGTTGTTGTTCCACTGAAAAAATGCTGATAAAAATAAAGGTGTCTTAGGAATATCGACTTAGAATATCATAAAAATAGAGGGGAAAAGCTTGTAATATTTATCCAAAAGAAATAATAAATAGGCTGATTAAGAGCTAATAAATAAATAAAATTGTAAATTTGAAAAACAAAATTGTGCTTAATCTTAAAAACAAAATATTCCAGCTAAAAATCCCCTTTTTTTACCGTATTTCTAAGGAAAAGTGACGATAAGAGTTTTTTTTTTAAAAAATCTATCTTAAATACAGAAGTTTATAAACAAAGCAAATGGAAAACAGAAAAAGAATTCATTCTCAATCCTTAAGAAACGCATTAGTTGTAAATAACTTACATTTTGGGGCCGAGATAGCCTGTTTGGTAGGGCACTGGGCCTATCTCCAAGAGGTCGTGGGTTCGATCCCCACCAGACGAAGACTCCCCGTGTAGTAAATGGTGACTGATGCTCGTTAAATCTGTCAAGCCTCTGGGGGTACTGATCCTAGAGTTTCCTTGTCTTCTGGATTGTTTAAAATTACAAGGCTACTGAGTTGAACATTAGTAGCCGTAAACGCAAAATTGGGTCGGCTGTTCACCGCGGGTTATGAAATGAAATAAAAATAACTTAAGCATTATTTATATCCGTGTTTACTTTTGGGTGTTTGACTTATTTAACAGTTTCAGTTACTGGGGTGAATTTTTTTTTATAACTTGATTCTTTAATACAGTACAGAACCCGATATCCGGAAATCGGAAAACCAAAAAACCAGATCGAAATTCGGTAAATTTTACCACCATTTTTTTAAAAAAAGATTTTTTTCCTCAAGATTTTAGGATTTTTCTTTCTTTTTTGAAAGATGTTTACCTTACCATCATTTTAGAAATAATCATTAGTGTATTACTTCATCGTTTTTTCTTCTTTTTAAGATTATTTCTAAATATATATTTTTTTTGTTGAATTTAACAATAAAAAAAAACGACTTATTGTAGCTATTCAGAAAACCAGAAAAATCTGTTATCGGAATAGCAATGATCCCGATCGTTCCGGATAATCGGTTCCCTGCTGTAATGTGAAATCTTGTATAAGGTTTTCCAATTATAAGAATAATAACATAGCAGGATTTTTAGTTAAAAGTTTAAAATACTCAAAGCACTTATTCTTTATTTTTATTGCTTTGTTTGTTAGAATTTTTAATAATTGTTTAGATTCTAGTTATGAAAGCTATGTAGTGAACATTCCCATGCAATAGAGGAATAAATAATTAGTATAATCTGCTTACTTAATAACAAATTTTGAATCTTAAGTGTTGGGTTCTGGGTGATATATAAATTCACTTCCTATACCTACTATTGCAATATTGCAGGTGTTTGAAGTCATACTTGCACATGAAAATGTGACCTATATAACAGTAATAAAAATTGTTTCTGTAACATAAATCAATTTATATTTTATTCAAAGTTTATTAAAAAACAAGTTTTGACAGATATTGAAGAAAATTGACAATTTTCATTGTTATGATTTTAATATTGTCATAGATATATTGTACTACAGTGACCCCCAGATCAGCTGTTACCCCCAGATCAGATAAAATCAGCTGTTTTTTAAAATCATATTGACAAGAACAGAATCATTTTAATGTCGAAACATGCTAAAACAATCCTTTAATAAAATCATTATCATTTTGTAAAGTCAAATTTTTGTTTGGCATGCGTTATAAAATTGAAAAACTCTTTCACTTGTAGAATTTTCAATTTTCTCAAGTTTAGAAAAATGTGCACTCATTCAGTAAAGTCAATATCTTCTTTAGATGTCTAAAAAACGCTTTGAAACCATAATGAATCTTAAAATTCAAAGTTTGATAAACAAGCAAATATGCTAATATTTAAAAACCCTTTAATAAATTAAAATTTTTAGTTCATATTTAATTTATATTTTAAATGTTAATTCATTAAATAACTAGACACTTACTCACTTTATAAAAACAAGTATTCTGAGAATGAACCTAATTTTAATGTGTGGTTGTCACTGTACAAATAATTAAAAAAAGTGTTATTTTGGTTAGCATTTGGTTTAAATTTTTAAAAAACTCATTCATTTTTTCTTCTAAGCAGATTCTGAACCATCTCAAGGGGATGAGGAGAAAAAAAGGCAAAAGAGAGGAGGCAAAGGTATGATGAAAGCAAAGAAAAAGACTGAAAAGGAGAAAAAGATCTGCCTCTCGAGAGCACCACGTGGAAAGAAAAAATTTGTGACAGTCATAACTGGACTTAAAACATTTGGTAAATTATAATTCTCAGATGTTAAAAAATGAAGGATGATTTTTTTTTCGTTATTTTTCAACTGCTGCATTTTTAAAGTAAATTTAAACTGTGACTTATTTTATGTTCAAAAAATGATGAAAAATTATGTTTTTTAAAAAAATAGCATTAGTACTACTTCTAGAAACTTAAATTTATGCAAACACTGCAGATTGCAATAATATTTCATATAAAAAAATTTAATTGGCCTGTAGTGAGTTTTCTTTTATTATCATTTCAATTAAACAGTTTTTATTTCATAATACAGAATTCTATTCCATAATGAAATTAAAGTTATAAATTTTTTTAAAATCAATATTTCTAATCTTCAAGCTAAACTGAATCTAAAGATATATGTAAACAAGTCTATACTCTGTTAAGCAAAAATAGACAAAGAAACTTAACATTTAATATAATTTTATAACCAACGTTGAACAGCCAATCTGATTCTGAGTTCTCGACCATCAATGCTCAGCTTCATATCCTTGTAATTTTGAACCCAATCCAGAAAACAAATGAACTCCTAGATCAAGCATTAGGGCAAACTAGCCTTTGTCGAAGACTTTGTGGAACTAACCCGCATCTGAGTCACACATAGAGAAAGACCACAGACCCTCCCATGGTAAGCCTGACAGCAAAGGGAATATAACCCATGTCTACCACTTACGACATTTTACGCCAACACTGTCGTCGGTGCGAGTTGGGAGAACGAGCAACAGCTGGGATCAGAACCCAGGTCACTCTATTGGGAAACTAGCGATCTATCCCTTGAGCCACCGCTGCTCCAATCTGACATTTTATATCATATTTTATAACTGTCCTTGAACAGCCGACCCAAGTTTGGGTTTACAACTGCTAATGTTCGACCCTGTAGCCTTGTAATTTTGAACCAATCCAGAAGACAAGGAAACTCCTAGATCAGTACCCCTGAGGAATGATTTGTTATGGGAACATGGAGGACTTTGTGACTCGGCAGATTTAACGCGCATCAGTCACCATTTATTACACGAGGAGTCTTAGGCAGCCAGGGATCGAACCCAGCTCCAGGCTCTAATACAGGAACCCAGTGCCATACCAACCAGGCTATCCCAGCCCCTCAATCTGACATTTGGCATTATCTTTGGCTAATTGGCACCAAGGTTATGACAAGTGGTCTATCAAGTTATTCTGACTAGTGGTCAATAATGAAAATCTCCGACTCAGTGAGAAACCAGCAAAAGCAGGTAATTTTGGCTATAAACAGCAAACCTCTTTGTTTGTTTACGCTATCAGTTAGAGTTCATAACATAAGAGTTCATTATAGTTCATAACAAGATTATGTGTGCCCATTTTTACACCTTCAAATTAAACTAAAATTTTGGTTATTAATTTTGAATATTTTTAAATAAAAAATAACGGAGTAAAATAAAGATTTTGAAATTCCTCTTCAAAATGTCATATTTAGCACAATAACCCTTGGTGGGCTTTCTTCTTAGCAGTTCTCTTTGTCTCCAAAATATATAGTATGTACTTTATTTTAAATTAAATATAAAATTAAGTTCCATTAAAAGATTTTGGAATTAACTATGTATTTCTTTTATTAAAAATTAAATATTAAAACAATTTTCAGACATAGATTTAAAAGATGCAGCAAAGTTCTTTTCACATAAATTTTCCTGTGGATCCTCAGTGACTGGTGATGATGAGATTGTTATACAAGGTGATGTAAAAGATGAATTGTTTGACATTATTACAGAACAATGGCCTGAAGTAAGTTATACCATAAAGAATTGCAATACAAATTTATTTTGAATGTATTTTAATGATAATATATTCAATAACTTTTAAGTTATCGTAAATTTGTGTTGAAATACAGTGCTCTCTCATAAGTGTGACTGTTTTAGTCTCCTGCACTTCCTTGTATATTAATTAATGCAAAGTACTAGGCTCAATGCTTTCTTTCCAAAGGATACTTTTAAACTGTTTTTTGTTTGATTAAATTTTTCAATTATTTCGTGATGTAAATACTATTTATTTTTACTAATAGTCAAATTAATTTTCAAGCTTATTTTTTTAATCTGAAAGTTTCAAACAAAAAAAAAAATATTCAGCTGAAACTCTAGGAGTGAATGTATATTATGTAATTTTGTTTTTAAGTACAGAATATAAGGAAATTTTTGGACCATTAGATGTATTATGTGACCGAAGATGCGTAAATAATAATTAGTGTTAAAAACTTAACACTACGTAAGTTTTTACATATGTTTTTTTTTTAGGCTTTTTCAATTTTCAACTGTTTTATTTTTTTAAAGCTGTGTAACTTCATATATATATTATTTACATGGGATTTTTAAATTAAAATGCATTTAAAATATTTTTAAAATGAATTTTTAAGTATAATAAAATAAAACTTTTTTAATAAAACTGCTTTTTTATTTTTCTGAATTAAATATCAAAAGTATTTGGAAAATTTCAAACATTGCAACTTTTTACTTACTTTATTTTTTTAAATAGTCATCATTGTCTGATAAGATTTTAAATATGCATTCAGTAAATTTTTTCCTTTTTATACATAAATTTATGGTTATTAAATAAAAAAAATTACTAGTTGGGAAGCATTAATTTTGTTCATTTGTGATGTTGATGTGTTTTATGAGTTTAGTTTTTTTTCCATAAATTTTCTGAGTAATGTTTATTTTTATTTAATGTTAACATTCAACCATACGAGAGCTTAAAAAACTATTCTTGACTTTGATTCAGTAAAGTGACTTTTTTATTTTGTTCCTGTAATTATTCTAAGCTACTTTTTTTCTTCCTAGATTGATGAAGACATGATTGATGTCTTAGATGATAAATCACGGTGATCAAATTGCTGTTTAGAACTGATAAATAAAATTGTACTTTTTATGTAAAGTTTTGTATAATAAAAATGCTCTGAAGTAATTTCCTTTCAAAGTTATTTAAAAACAAAACAAAAAAACTCATTGAATAGTGGTTTTTAGAATTACCCAAATCATCTCTTTACTGCTAAACAAGTTTCATCTTAAAACTATGATCCTCATTAATTTATTCCACCCTTCTATAAAAAATTTATTTTCTAAAACATAACATGTTTTGTTCATTTATGGATTCAATTATTAAATATTTAATCAATAACAAACTAAAAAACAATTTAAGGAAAGATTCTACATATTTGATGAAATACCTACAAGTACGTGTGTGCATCTGCTGAACTGGGTTCGGTGAGATTATTGCACTCTCATGTGCGCCTCTGCTGCATTTTGCAAGATATTCTCAATTTCAGGCTTCATTTTCCACCCTCTGGTGTCCAACCGGAAAATATCTTGATCATTTTATAATGGCTAATATAATTTTTAAAAAAAAAAAGAGTTTTTCTGAAACTAGTTATTTTATCATGATCATGTATAGTCTCTGAAAATTATTTTGCATTTTATTAATGTATATAGTGCTTAAAAATATCTTTTTAAGTGCTTATTTTTTGTTGAAAGATTTGGCTATGCACCCTGAAAAAATTCTTGAGAGGGAGATTTTCAATTAATAGTATATTTAATCAATAAAAAATTTAAAAAATCCAATTTTAAGCAAAATATTAATATGAATATTTATTATTTTTTAATTATTATATGAATGCAAAAAAAACGTCTGATAATGTTTATGCAACTTTATTAATAATTATACATAACATCATAAATCTGTTATTTACACAGTATGATTAGTCTTTAGACTTCGTTTTTTTGTGTGTTTTCAACGCATCTTGCTTCACAAATTCTCCTTTTCTTTTACCTTTAATAAAAACTCCTGTTAACCAGTTTCCATACACACAGCCGGTATCCAGACCTGTAGCATGTGAATAGCACTGCAACATTCGCTTGGCATCATGTCCAAAATATACATGTTGTGGACCTCTCCAAAGTGATGCCCACGGTTCTCCTTCCTTTGGATTTTTGGTCGCCAAAAGACCACCATCCCAGAAATAATCTGATACAATTATATTCCTCATTACAACCATATCCATGATATCATTACTCTCCAATGGCATTCCAGGTAAAAGTCCCGCATGGACTATAATGGTATTCAACGATGGTAGAGAAATAGTATAAGGTAGTTCCACTAGATATCGAACCTCATCCATTCTTAAATCATTGATCCAGGCGTTTTCTGGACTCAGTTTGTAATTAGGGTTTTTTGACTCAAAATATTCTCGTAGGACAACTTCGTCGTGATTGCCCCTAACTGAAACCATAGATGTAGAATTCATCAATAAATTCAGAACTTCTTTACTTTTGGGTCCTTTATTCACCAGATCTCCAACAAAGATCTTCAGGACAGAATCTTCTTCAGCATTAGCTTTTTTTAACAGTAATTTAAGTTCGTCATAGCATCCATGCACATCTCCAATGACTAGTATCTCCTCAAATTCTTCAAGCCAGGCAGGGTCTACAGATCTGTGAAACGCTTGAGGTAAAGGTAAACCAAAGGCATGAGTATGGTAAGAGTGAGGTTTTGGAATCAATTTGCCAATGCTGTTTAAAAAGCATGCAATTAAGGATACCATGATGGGGATAATAAATTAACTACTGCTAAACTATCTTCTTCTAAAAACGATCTATAAAAATCCTTATTCATCCATTCCTGAAAAATAAATGCATAATATTAAAATCTCAAAAATGCTCATTATTTTGCAAGAATTACATAGGTTTTATTTTTACCATTTTTCTTTTATCTCAGAACTTACATGAACTCAGTTTCAAGTATAAGGAATATAAGCCTTAACAAGTATATGTTACCCCAACTGTATGCATGTAACAAAGATAAAAATGTGTCTTTCAACTCTTTATGAAGAGTTAATTCAATCAAATGTATACTAAGTAAATTTCTAAATTTAAGTAACAAAACAATCATTTAATTGAAAAACCTTTATTTTTAGTGCTTATTGTATTATTGAAATAAATTAATGTATATTAAATGAAAATTAATGGTATGTATTTATCTTTACTAAAACTAAATATTTAAAAAATTTATCAAAAATAAAAACGTATGACTATTTTCTTGAAGTCTTAATAAGGTGAATTGGGTTCGAATTTGAATAACTGATGGAACATATATTCAGACAAAAGCTATATTTTAGGTAAATTAGGTGATATGACATTGATAAAATAAATAGTATCAGTCAAATTTTTAATAAAAAAAGATAAATCCTTTAGATTAACATAACTGTATGATACAGGATCCCCCATTAATTGATACTTTAAAACCTCATAAAAATTGAAGGAATTTTATATGCTTAAATTGTATACATCATTTCACAATGACGATTTTTGTTTTCTTTAAAAAATTAGTTCAGTAAAAACTAATCCGGTTTTTCCGAAATAATCATATTAGTGCCCTTTTAAAGTTCAAAGTGTCGTTGAATTTCACTTGGGTAAATTAAGGTCCCAAACTCAGATCTTGTCACCTTTTTGTTTATTTCCTCCATCTGTTTTTACATCTTACACAGTTTTTATCTTGGATGAGTATATCAAAACAAATCCACCATGTAGTACTACATTCCACTATACCAATTACTAATTTTCTGCCTTTAAGAATAAAAAAACTAATTCGGTTTTTTTCGAAATATTCATATATTTTTCGAAATATTCAATATTCATATCGAAATATTCATTCGGTTTTATTCGAAATGTTCCCTTAAAAGTTCTAAGTGTCGTTCAACTCAGATCTTTTGACCTTTTTGTTTATTTTCTCCATCTGTTCTTGAATCTTACTCAGTTTTTATTTTAGATGAATTTATCAAAACCACCATAACATTCAACTATACCAATTACTCATCTTCTGCGTCTCTGCATATGTCAAGTCACTAAAACCATTTATACCCGAGAGCTAAACTGAATTATAATAGCAAGAAATTTTCTTTCAATTTACTAAGACAGATTTCTAACTTTTAAGCCAATAATTAATAATAATAAAAAATTCATATAAGTTCACTGTGCAATTATAAGGCATAAAATATATACAATATCTGAGAATTTATTTAATATTAAAGCTTACATTCTGGATTTTTAAAGTACTTTTCAAATTACAGCTAAATGAATTTTGAGACATGTAATGAGTACTAAGTATAGTTTATTTTGTTTGATTATTAATGTCAAATTAGAGCTACATTAATGAACTATTAGCAAATGATCTGGGATTCATGTACAGGATTGAATGACAATGATTTAAAAAAAGAATATTGCCTGAACTTACACAATTTAGATTGGGAGAATAGAATTTTAATTTATGGAAACAATAAAACAACTAACTCAATTTAGATTGGAAGAATAGAATTTTAATTTATGAAAACTAACTACTCAATTTAGATTGGAAGAAAAGAATTTTAATTAATGGGAACAATAAAACAATGCACACAGTTCCTCTCCTTCAACTACTTAAGATACTTTTTAAATAATTAACCGATTCAGCATTGCACCCTCTTATAGAAAATGAACCATGAGCATTTCCCATTTGAAGGAGATACTAACATTTTGGAGCTACGTCTATAATTCTTTACAAGACATACACTGTACATAAGCTGTATTAATTAAAATGTTCAACCATTCAGTTTGTTGACAATATTAAACATGAGATAAAATCCTATTTTGCATTGATGGAATAATCGTTCTCAAATTCTGGAGCTTGGGAAACATAATTATCCTAGTCTTTTAAATTGTTCAGGACAGCGTTCTTAGTTTCCATTCGTAAAATAAGATGATCTGGTATTGTGCTGTTATCTAGAAGAAATTCAGGAAACCTGCAAGATACCTATCTGAGAACAATACTATGGAGCAGTTAGATATAAAAATGTAAAAAACTGTGACTTTACTAAAATTGCGTCAAGCCCTTCAATTTTAAATGATATCTTTAATCAGCATTTTTTGCAGCCAAGCTAAATAATTCAGCCCATTTATTTAAAATGAACTTAAAATTTAACATCCATGTGTATAAGATTTTTTTTTTTTTACGTTTCATATAATCAAAAAGTATTTATAGTTCTAGATTAAATAAATGATAAAGTGTGACTTTGAATGCATTCGTGTTAAAAATGCCACTATTTGTTTCAAAAAAATTTACTACATTACTTACATCAGAATAATAACATTGAATTTTTAAGTAATTTGTATCATGTTCGACCTCACAGTTACTAAATAATCTCAGAAAAAGTTTTTTTTCTTTGATGTCATAATTTAGGCTTCACTTTACATCAATACCAATACGCATACCTACCTTTTACATTAATTTCCAGACAATGCTCTGATTGTTAGATAGATAAAAGATTTATAGTAGGTACCAATTTAGTGGGAGATGTATCTAATTTCTTGCTCTTAAACTAAATTAAATTTTCTGTGGAAATTTCTTAGAATCAACTATATGAGAAATCTTTTTCCTCTTGTCTTAGTCTAACAACCAATCAAACTCTCTACCTATCCACAAATAAAATTTTATACCACATTTAGTTTTTAGGGTAAGTACAAAGTATAATGCATACATAAACTTAAAACCATGATCTAAAAAAAAATCTAGTAACATAACATGATCTTCAATTTTTAAAGATGTAGGAACATTGGCAATTTTATTAATTAGTATTAGTCTTAAAATTAAAATCTTGGCTCCATGTGCTTCTAGTCTGAAGACCAGGATTGAAAAGTTATTGACAATTGATGATTTTTTCTGGTTTTAACCATGGTTTTATATGTCATGTCAAAAACCCAAAATTTTAGCGTAAGGATAATTATTGGCTATTATAAACAGGAAGTATTTATAAATCAGGGGTCTGTCTAGGTTTTTCTGAGAGGTACCTATTTTGTGAAAATTTAGACATAATTTGTGAAAAATTTATATTTAAAAATCAACACAAAAATATGGATTTATCGTTTCTTAAGGGATACAAAATTGAAACTTTAAGAAAAAATATTTTGTGAAACTACCGTTTTTCCTAAGATTGAATTTGTGAAACTACCGTTTTCCCTAAAGTTGAATTTGTGAAGGTACCGCTAAACGGTAGTAAATTCGGCCTGGACCCTGTAAATAAACTTATAAAATTACAAGTGATCAATCAATTATGTTCTTGAATTATTTTGATAAACTCTCTTTTTGTTTTGACAATTACTGTCAAAAACCCAACTTTTGATGTAGAAAATATTACATCAATATAAATGAAAATGTGTAAAATTGAAATTTATCCAACCTGTTAAATTATTCGAAATAAAAAAATGAAAACAATCAGTAAATAAAAAAAAACAACATTTTATTAGATGTAAAATCAATTTTCATTAAATCCCATTTTAACTTGAAGCATGCAATTACAAAAAAATAAAAGTTTTTTACATCTTTCAAGTGCATTTTTCAGTATTGCATGAATAAGATCGAAATTCCAAACTATTCTTTCTATTGATGCTGAGCTGCATTGTCTAGAAAGAAAATGCACTAAACCTATGATAACATGCAACTAGTAAATTTATAGGTACTAATAACTGTACAAAATATTAATAGTAATTTAAATAAACCCTTGAATTGAAGATTGAAAAAATTAACTCATTTAAGCAAACATTTATATTTTTATAATTAGTTCACAATGCAGTGAACCAATTATTTATTAACATAATTAAAATTAGATCACATTAAAAGTTATCGCACAAACATTAAAAGTGGTTGTAAATAGAGGTGATAGCTACATAGAGGTGGTCTTTCCTGGAGGATTCATTGTGTGTTACTTGATTCTAATAAAATGTCTCCAAAGAAAAAACAAAAAATTGCCCCAGATTTTTGTTGGACTTCGACAGTTTATGACACTTTTTGACAGGTTTTTGATGCATCATGTAAAACCCAGCCCTGCTGACCGAATTTCTAGCAAAAATAAATTTAGTTTACTTCAAGATATTTAAAAAACATTTTAGAAAAATGAAACAGTAAACTAATTAAATTCATTTTATTTTTAAACAACTGTAACATTTACATCTTAAATTTTCAATAAACTCAAAGAAAAATTGAGAGGAACAAAAATTTAAAAACAATTTTATTTAGCTAAGTTGAGTTGATTTGTTTTAGGTATGAATTATTTCTTCATGAGCACTGATCAGATTTTTGAATTATATACAAAATACATATAAAATATTAAAAAATAATACTACACATATATAAGACATTTATCATGCTATTTTAAACTGAATGTAAACTAATACCAATGAGAAAAAATTGCTGCAATTGATAAAATTAGTCAAAATGCATCCATATTTCAAAGATATTAATAAATATGTTAAAGAAAAGAAAAAAAGAACATATTAAGCTTTTCAACAGTAAAGTTCAAAAATCAAAACTACAAATAAACAATTTATTAGTCTAAAAATCAAATCAGCAAAAAATGTCTCATGTGCTTAGAAGAAGAAAATTTTCACCATAACAATTAACAGTTTTGTTTTCTTTATGAAAATGGTTTATAAATTTAGTGAAATATAATTAAGAGATATCTCAGTATTATAAGAATGAAATCATATTTCTGTTCACATATCTCAATGAATTAATTTAAAATTTCTTAGTAATTTAAAGTTCATGAATGATGTATAAATAAATATTATATTATATTTTAAAACTGCAATTTGTGGTATTTTCAAGGTACAGTACATTTTAAAACGAGAGCATGTAAGATAAATTTTTAGAATGTGTAAATTTAAATTTTCAATAAGTTTTGATATTCGAAGTGTTGTTTCATATTATACTACACTTACAAGCAAAATAAAATTAAACATAAAATCGCACATTATATGAAGTCAATATTAAGCTTTATCAACAATTTTAGTGAGGAAATTTGTGAAATTAATGGATAAAAATTTATGCCTCTTCAATGGCACTATAAATACTAAGCAACAAACATACAAAGGAAAGAAATTTATAATAATTTCTGCATTTGAATAGACAAAAAAAAAATAATTTTATTACAATTAATGTTCCTTCAAATTAACACCAAAATGAATCATATTACAATAAAGCAAGTCAATTCTTCTTTCTCAACTTTTAACACAGAAAAATTGGATGAACAAGTTATTTAGTTTTATTTACATAACCTAAACCAATGTAATAAACAAATCATTGGTTTGAAATTATGATTAGTTCACTTCCTCAATAAGAGGTTTGCCTATGTCTACTTTTAAAACCTTTTCTTCACTTATAGAGCTAGTACTTTCAGGCATAAGATCTGGCAACATCAACAATAACAAATCAGATGAAATACCAGAGAAGGCTGTTTCAAATTCTGAACTCCATGCAATGAAATATTCTATCTTTTTTATTAACAATGTTAGTTTTTTTCTCATTGCTTTATCCTGGTCTTTTTTACTCTGACACAAGCTTTTATAGTCATTAAAAATTAATTTAATATCATGCAGTGCACATAAAACAAAAGTCGATGATCTGGCATTACTTGGACCAAGCATGATATTGCTAACATCATTCACAATACTTTTCACAAAAGAGATGGGAACATCTAATTGTTGATCCATAATTAGTCTTATAGAATCCTGCACCGATTCATCTAAAGTTGAGTAATTCTTTCCTTCAGATAAAACAGGGCTTAAAACAAATAAGAGATCGACTACTTCTGCCAGGAAGTCTCTCAATTCACAATTGAAAAAACGGCATAAGAATGCATATGCATAAAGAATGTTAATCAAATTTAAAGGTATGCATTCTGAGGGCTTAGCAGATGTCATTTCTGAAAGCTTTTTAAAATTTAAAGGGAATGGAGGCCTTTCTGCAACGTCATCATTAGTTTCACTTGAATCCGATTCAAAATCAGAAACCAGGTTCAAAATTTGAGATGTCCACCAAGGTTGCTTCAGTGAAACAATTGATTCAAGTTTGTTTTTATCTTTGATAAATGATTCAAACTCAGACTTTTCGTCTGCATTGAGCTTCTCCCAAATATCATGCTCATTAATTGAGTTTAAATTCAAGTCCGCAAACCGCTCTTCAATAGGAGAAGCAACAGATTCATTGCGTAAATCCGGATTTAATTCATCTTTTTCGAAATTTTGGATAATTCGTCTCATATTCTCTTCCTCTTCTTGACGAACACGTTCGTCTCTGAGAGTTTGTTCGACCCATTCTTGGAAGAACAATTCAACGCACCCGTCATGTTCACGATTTTTATAACAGTATGATGAACAATATTTGCAACTGCATCGTGGGCAAGTATATATACCACTTCCTATACCGCAAAAACGGCATTTTTGGGCTACTTTAGATAAACTCATATTGTTTTACCAAACTAGTCTACCGTGTTTATGAACACTTACAACAACTCATTTCATTAAAAAATATAACATCTTAAAAAAATACAACAACTACAATAAAAACCACATAAAAAGGTATAATTTCATAAATTACAAAGTCAAAAGAAAAGTGAATTGAAATTATAGGCAATTCACTAACCTGTTAGCGCTCAAACAAAAAGATAAACAAGAAGTCCGTCCAGCAGAATTCAGTTTATGCGGATAAGGTCACAGTGAAGAAAGTACACTTTTCCTTCCATAAAGAATTCCAGAGACGACGATTGATGGTGCATGCAGTGAGAACGGTGCTTTATACTGTTTGAAAAACTGGCAACGGCATTAAGGCAACCAATCAATCTATCAATACTGAGCAGTGTTTATATTTACATTGATTGATGGAAATGAAAATTCCGAAGTTGTTTGAGCGACTTTCTTAAACACGTGGTTTCATGCATTATATTAATCTTAATTTTGATTTATTATCTGAGAAAATTTTGCAGAAACATGAGTATTTTTACGATGAGCATAAATCCTATTAGTGGTAAAAAGGAATGGGTTGAAAAAGATGAATACTATGATTATTTCCAAGAAGTCGCTAGGTTATTTCGATATTATATTTTTGTTCATAATTTTAAAATTACAATATAAAACATGCGTTAAAAAAAGTTTTTATATCTGCAAAAATTAATCATTTTAAACTTGTGCTATTCATTGCTATTTTACAATTTTATTATAGTTCTATATTACCAATTGTAATCCCGGGTAATTCACGAATGTTCTCTCATTTTATCTGGCCTTACTGTGGGAGCAACGTTGGCCCCCCTAATATAGTGCCTCTGAAAAAGTGGCCAACAAATCTGTCCTGTAAAATGCCTGAATTGACGAAATATGGTGGGCACTGGAAATAAAATAAAAAATATTACCAATTGTTCACCTATTTGTTAATTCGGTTGTTTCCTATGTCCCAAAAAGAATCAAATCTAGAGTGGAGTATACATCAAATACAAAATACTATTCAGTTAGCAAATATCAAAATACTATTTAAAAAGTCCAGCAATCTATTCGGAAAACAAAGAAATTACTAGCCTATTTGAATACGAAAAGATAAAAAAGGAGAAAGTAAATTCAAGTGGAGAAAGCTAACCAAAACATTTTGTGCATCACAGAACAAATTTATTATTATTAGTAAATAGTCTGAAAATACATATATATATATATATATATTTTCAAATGTGAAACAAAAGCATTTTACATAGTGTTCTGTTGAATGTAGTGTGTATTGAACATAATAATCGCCATCTCTAAACACTAATTTTCTTTTCAATTGATTGTAGTGTGTTATTAAACATAGTTGCTATCTACAAATGAATTTATTTTGTATCTAATTTCTGATGATTTGAAGGGTGTCAGTTAACATAATAGTTATTATCTATAATCAGATTTTTTTAAACAATAATTGCTATCTATTGACAGATTTTCTTATAGTATATTTAAAAAATTAATTGAAATTTATACATAAATATACAGGTACCAGGTGTCTGTCCAGACCAAATTTACTACCATTTAGGGGTACCTTCACAAACTCAACTTTAGGAAAAGCGGTAGAATATACTTTTTCTTAAAATTTTATTTTTGTGTCCCTTAAGAAACAATAAATCCATATTTTTACCACATTTTTGTGTTGATTTTTTAATATAAATTTTTTATTTTCAAAAATTATGTCAAAATTTTCACAAAATAATTACCTCTCAGAAAAGACAGACCCCTTTGTACATAAATAAGCAAATTTATGCCGAGTATCAATATATATTAATAATCCTTATAATTTAATTTGCATTAATTTACTACAATAACAAAGTAAAGATTATAGTTTTGATTTAAAGAAAATAGTTTTTTCTTTTGAGAGAGAGCTTTTATCTTCTCGTAAAATTTTGAAGTAGACTAGTTAAAAAAGCCTCAACAAAATTTTGTTAAATCTAAATCATAGAATTGGATTTATTTATTAACAGGTCCTGCAATGGACTTTAAAAAGAAATGGTTGCCAGTAGAATACCAAAGTCAAGTATCCCTGGCTGCTGTCAGTAAGCGGGTGGGTGGCCACTTTGAACAGAATGCAAAGAGACTGAGGGCTTGTGGTCATTGTTAAACTGTTCTACAGTAAAGTGCTCAACTTAACCAATTCTGAGCAATTTAGATTTCAATCTTTTATTTTATGTGTTTAATATAAAGGAATGAGAGCTTAAATAATTATTAAAATACTTATTGTCTTTTTTCTGCTATTGAAATGTCATCTTTAGACCATAGAACTTCCAGCATATTTTTTTAGCATATAGTGATAATTATTTTATATATGTAATAAAAAGTAAATTAATGTTTAATCTGAAACATAAAAGGCGATTTAATATAGTAATAATAAAATATAGTAACATGTTTAATTCCTCTTGCTTACTTAGGTTTATTTATTTTTTGAAGATTCTATTGACTTTTATCTCTAACAATAACCATTAATGTTTTTTAGATCATCGTATGCTGATATGCTTCATGATGCAGAAAGGGTAAGGGTTAATAAACATGTTTTAATGTGTTTTTATCAATTTATGTACAATTAAGTAAAAAATAAAAGCTTTAAAAAGTATTCAATCAAATAAAAGAAAAATATTAGATTTATTGCAATTAGTAAAAAACTGAATAAATTTTAATGATACAAGAAATAATTGTTCACAGTGACTATTATCCTAATTTGGATGCACATAATGTGTCAACAAGTGATATATCCTCAAATTTTATGTCTCTGTTTAGATTGCTATGTCGTTTCCATTATTTTTTAACAGTTGAATCCATAAAATAAAGGGCAGTGAATGTATTCATTCCTTTTGCTGGAGAAAAATTTGTGTAGCCTCTCTTTCTGAATTGGTGACTGATCCAGTTGAATTAGATAACTGGAATGTATCTGCACTAGTTTATGCTTTTTAACTCAATCTGTTTACATTGCATCCTCCTTTTTACTTCAATTTACCTTTTTACCTATGTTTTTTTTCCTCCATTTATGCTTTTTGCATTCTTCACCATTTCAGGAAAGGCAGCATCGTAACTATTTCTCTTCCCTTGCTAATATTATCAATGCTTAAACAGAGCTCATTCTAGGCAGAAAAAAGGGCAGGGTGCAAAAGTTTAAAAAAAGGGGATTATTATTCTAAAAAAGCAATAATTTCTTTCTATGGGCTTTACACGTTCTATTAAAAAACATTGTCAATTAGTAAAAGAAATTTTTTTTTTTTTTACTTTACTAAAAGTAGCAAGGCAATCATATTACTAATTTTTATTAATAAATTAACATATATATCGAGTTAATTAGTTAATTAGCTTTGTAATTTATTTAAAAGACATGTATATAATAATAAAATAAATGTATGTTTTTAAGAGTCTGTAGTTATGATTTAATGATAGTGTGGGTAACTGCAAACTTTCAAAGAAAAGTGCAGCAATGGCAAACTAAATAAAAAGAGTTGAAAATAACATAAGTTTAAGAAATCCATTGTAGAGTTTGGGGGGAAAAATAAGGAAGGGTTGAGGAAAGAAAGGGCAAAATGGGTATGGAGTCTATTATATCAGGGCACTAATTTACTTCAGGGGTAGCAGGGTGGATTCATTTGACTAAAAGGGCAGCAGGGTGCTGCGCCCTGTATACCCTGCCTAGAATGAGCTCTGGCTTAAATAGAATTTCAGGTAATTGATAAAAATAAAAATTGGTTTTTGATGAAGAAAAAAAAATTTTTTTAACTTATTATTATAATTTGTAACAATGTATAAAAATCTCAATATTGAATTTTAATTTTGTCGTTAATGTTGATTTTACTATTGTGCAGTAGTATAATTGTTTAAATATATTTTAAAATATTTAATTCTCTAAACCGCTATATTTTAGTTACTGTCCAATGTGAGTAGATTTAACATCAGTGCTTCTTAAGAGAATTTTTTTGTTCATTTTGAATAAATGTATTTAAATTAAAATTATTAAAACTTACCTTTTTTTTAACTAACTATTTGCCTAAATTTTTCAAACACATAATTTCTTTAGAATCAGAAGTATAATGCTGCAATTAAAAAAGCTGTACAATCAATGAAAGATCAAGGTAGATTGGCCAAAGTTTTAGATATCGGAACTGGAACAGGGCTGTTATCCATGATGGCTGCCAGCTGTGGTGCTGACACCATTACTGCTTGTGAGGTAATAATTTATAGTTATATTTTTCAAAACTTCTAATCAAATTATAATTCATTAGCTTATTAATTTATTTTCTACTGAGTTTTTTGTCTCTTTTTTTATTTGCTATGTATATAAAAATATTAATCCTAATATTATAAATTATATGTTAGGTGTTTCAACCAGTTGCAAAATGTGCTGAAGATGTAATAAAAGCAAATAAGTTGGATCATAAGATTAAAATTATTTTGAAGCATTCTACAGACCTAACCGTTGGACCAGGTTTTTATTTATTTCATTATTTGTATTAAGCATGTAAAAAGATAAGTAGAGTAGAACTCCAGTTATCCTAATTAACCAAGACCATATTTTATCTATATAGTTAAATATTTGGCTAATTGACTAAATTGAAGGGGAAAAAAGTTTTTTTTTATAAGTGAGAAAAAATATTATAAATTTTATTAATCTTACAACTACAAAATAGACTTTTTTCATAAACTTTGTTAGAAAGTTTTTGTTAATTTAATACAATTAACATCTTTTGCGCAGAAAATACCATATCAGAGCAATGTGTCCCATAAGGTGATCTTTATTTCTAGAATTCTACTGTACTTTTGCAAAAATATTTATTACTTAACTTTGTTGACGGAGCTATAGTAAATTATAAAAGATCTCAGAATAATATCAACTATTCAGAAAAACAAATTGATTCCTGTGAAATATTAAGACAAAAATCAGATGAAGATATCCCTTCCCTTAACTGTCTTTGCTTGCATCATTATTTTATCCGCTTTTTTTTTTCTTTTTTTATTCGCAATGCATTGGTCAACATTCATGTTAAACTTATTTTATTATATAATCTAAAAATCCAAACGAAAAGTAAATAAGCCACAATTCTTGCATATTTTGATATTAAATCATTAAAGCTGGTATTAGTAAAGAATTCAAATTTTACATACAGTACATAAAAACATATTTGGAAAGCTTCATTGAAGGAAATAAAAAAGAATCTGTTGGATTGCAATGAAATATGTCTGTATTATTTTTTTTTTTAATAAATAAATATAGATATAAATAGAAAACTTGGTTAATTTAAACTGCCCATTTATGAGAGTTATCGGTTTATTGGAAGAGAACAAAGGCTCATATTGTATGCCTCTGGCAAACATTTTTGGAACCATTTTTCATATCTGAAGCAAATGAATATCTTTATGTGAACCCAAATTATTGTACAGTAGGGAACTGATTATCTGGAACGATCGGGACCATCGCTATTCCGGATAACTGATTTTTCCGGTTTTCTAAATCGCTACAAAAAGCTGTTTTTTTATTGTTAAACCCAACTAAAAAAAAATTTGGAAATAATCTTAAAAAGAAGACAAAACAATGAAGTAATACACTAATGATTATTTCCGAAATGATGGTAAGGTAAACATCTTTCAAAAAAGAAGAAAAATCCTAAAATCTTATGAGGGAAAAAAAAAAAAAATTTTTAAATAGCGGGAAAATTTATCGAATTTCATTCCGGTTTTTTGGTTTTCCGGTTTACTGATTTCCGGATAACGGGTTCTGTACTGTATAAGAAAATGAGTAAAGTGTTACAATTTACATAATGAGGTTTGACTTGAAAATCCTTTAAGTTTCAAGCATATTTAAAATGTCTTGTAACATTTTTAGCTGCACAGAAAAATAAATTTGACTTTATTTTTTCAGTGTTATATAAAAAACCTGTGTAAAAATTATGTTAATTAATGATTTAATTTTGTTCTTCGTGAAGCTTCAATGACCTATTAATTATTAATGTTTAATGTTAATTTTTATATTGTTCAAATGTATAAATAATTATTATGTTTTTATTAAAATATACTTCATTTCATATACAGATGGTGATTTAGCAGAAAAAGCAAACATTTTAGTTGCAGAAGTGTTTGATACAGAACTAATTGGAGAAGGTGCTCTCAAAACATTTTATCACGCTACCAAAAATTTATTAGAGGTAAAACATTAGCTTTCTATATTATTTAAGATAATACCATTTTATTTATTAATTTTACATTTGTTTCTTTATTGAATGTGTTTTTACTATTCTTAGAATATTTTAATATATAATAGTTTTAATTTTGAAGCAAAATTTTTATAATTCATTAAAATTTTTATATATAAAAAGTTGTATAGCAAGTGCTGTATATTTATTGTTCTATGATTTAAAAAATATTGTTTTGTTACAGTGTAACCCATTCGTTGCGGTATAACCCATTTTCTCTTATCATTGAATGAAAATCGAGTGACAATTACTAAAATAATGAGTTTTATGCTTACTCGGCACACCCGAAGTTAAGCACGCCTGAAACAACCTGTTATTAGCTAAGGAGCTTGTGAAGGTCAGGGCTTTGCCATTTTGAGACCAAAGGCATGTTGTTAGCAATGTTATCATCACTGCACTCCGGTCGCCATGATCGGGACCATCGCTATTCCGGATAACTGATTTTTCCGGTTTTCTGAATAGCTACAAAAAGCTGTTTTTTTATTGTTAAACCCAACTAAAAAAATATGTATATAAATATTTGGAAATAATCTTAAAAAGAAGAGAAAATGATGAAGTAATACACTAATGATTATTTCCAAAATGATGGTAAGGTAAACATCTTTCAAAAAAGAAAGAAAAATCCTAAAATCTTATGAGGAAAAAAAAAAAAAAAATTTTAAATGGCGGGAAAATTTATCGAATTTTGTTCCGGATTTCTGATTTCCGGATAACAGGTTCTATACAGTATTAAGTCTTCAGGAGAGGAATTAAAAAACATGTTTTTTTATGATAAATTTTTATTTTTCTAAATTGTTTCTAGCTAAATTTGTAAATATATACTAACTTAATATTTTTTTTAAATTTATAATACTTTATTTATTTATTTTTTATAAAAATTTTATTTTTAAATTTTTCTTATGTAAAAGGCTATTAAGCGGACCCTATACTGCGGGAGAAACTCAATATACCATATTCTGCCTTATATAAATTAGTAATTTAAAATTTATAGCTTAGAGAAAAGCGAATTCAAATAAACTTGGTAAACCATGAAATTTTAAATGCTGATAAAATGTTTTTAAAATGCAAACAAATAATTGGAAGATATCTTTCTCACTGTGTAATCCTGCCACAATTTGCTGGAAATTTTTTTTTTCAGCTTTCAAAACTATATGGTTTTCTCTACATTTACCTAAATCCACTGTTTCTAATTTCAAATTACTGAAAGGGAATTTGTAATAAAAGATTTTTTCCGCAGTATGGTGTTCACCTAAGTTACTGAATTGGATTGCTGATTTCTATAACTGATACTTAATAATAAATAACATTTCCGAAGTTTAAAGATACATATTAGTCTATTTTATTCATTACATATGAATTAATATTATCTTTAGATGAATTATATTGCTTTATCTTTCAGGAAGACTGCATTGTTATACCGTCAGCCGCTTCAGTTTTTGTTCAAATTATTCATTCGCCCATGATATCAAAGTGGAATAAACTTCTACCTGTTCATGTGGGACCAAACCAAGTTATAATACCTCCAAAAATTGTGGCTGCATGTCCTGGTTCAGCTGCAGTACATGATATACAAATGTCTCAAGTACCCGCTGATAAATTTACAGCTTTAACCGACCCAACATCTGTCTTTAGGTATGACTTTATATTCATTCCTTTTTTAATTTTTGTGACACTAAGTATTTATTTTAAAACATTGTTGTTTATCATTTGATTCTCTTCAAATTTTGCAAATAGTCAAACAGAAAAATATTTTTTGTCTTCTTTCTTAATCATTGACCTGAAGAAAAAAAACTGATTTCTGTTGGAGACGTGGGGCAGCAATTTGAAACTGTGCATTTACAGGACTGCGTGGAAGTCAGGGAACTGGCCTTTCATCAGAAAGGTTCTGGGTTCGAATCCCGGACGAGGCATAGATATTCTTTCATTCTCTGTACTATCTGTCCTTACAGTGGGAGCAATGTTGGTCCCCCTAATATAGTGCCCCTGAAAGAGTGGCCAAAAAATCTGCCCTGTAGATGCCTGAATTTGCAAAATGTTAACACAGGCAGCCATCGAAAATTAAAAAGAAATGTTTTACATACAAAACCATTAGAGGGTTTAAATATAATAATTTAATACTTTTCTTATTTCATCTTAATAAAAAGAATTCTGCATTTTAATTTACATTGAAAAAATCATTTTTTTTTTTTTTTTTTTTTTTTTTTTNTTTGTTTTTTTTTTTTTTTTTTTTTTATTCAAAGCTGATTTTAAAATTAATTTAAGAAGGGAACTTAACTCAAAAGAAACTTATAACAAGAGAGTTATGAAATTAAAAAGTTTTATAGTCTAAAAAATTTTAAAATTGACATTGTATGTATGTAAACAAAATATGATTCATTAAATTCTATATACAAAATTATAGGTTTAAAAAGAAATTTATGCTTGATTGTTTTTTGAAAGTACCCAAAAAAAACGGCAAAGTATATGAAAAAAGCCTCCTAACAATGGAAATATAAATAGGTGATTCCCAAACATTTACATTTATTACTTTCACTGTTTGCACCTGACTGGGGAAAAATTGCACGGTAAAGATAAAATATGATTCTGATTTTCATTGAAATTTCCCTGATATACCTGGGAAAGTTAGGGAATTTCTTTCCTGAAATTGAATGGGAATGTTATAAACTGTTTTAATATGAAAACTGTTATAATCTTATTCTTATATTTTTCATGCTGAGATGCTTTCTTTTAGGTTTGATTTTACTGGTAAAAAAAATATTGAAATGAATGAAACTTTTATAAAACAAGTTCCTGTGATCAAAAAAGGTGAATGTGAAATGGTATTTATGTGGTGGGATTTGAAAATGGATATGGATGGTGATATCATTCTAAACAATGGACCAAAATGGGTACAACCTGAACCAAAAAATGCTCAGGTGAGTTTACAAGCTTGTCAAAATCATGAAGTTGCATAAATAGTCAAGTGATGATGTATGATAATGTACCAGTGGTGACTGCTATGGTGAAATTTAAGAAGTTCTTCTTGGCTTTTCCAATTATTATAAAACTATTTTTTGTCAAATAGTGATGTTGTACTTTTTTAAAGAAATAATTTTATTCTTTTTTAATCCCTTAATGCCCGAGTGAGAATTTTCTCTAATATTCAGCTCTTTGAAATTAAATGTCATAAAATTGACTGAAAAATTATTAAAGAAGTTCCTAACTGAAAAATTTCCATTTTCTTCATAAAAATCAAAAGAAAAATTTTTTAAAGTTATGGAACTCAGTGCAAAATGCTATCATTTTCTAAAACTGTGTTACACAATGTCAAGTCAAAGAATTGAGTGTCAAGGGGAAAAGTATTCTTATAATTGTATTTACAATGTATTAATTATTATTTATATTTAGTGAATACAAATTAACTAATTAAAAATTAGCTGAATGTAAAAAAAATTTCCAAGACATAAGAAAAGCGCATTTCAAGTTAGTCTTCAAAATGAAAAATGGCTACATTATCGACAAAATGATTGATGAAATTCTAAAAAAAGAAAACGATTACTAAAAAAGGAATATCTAAGGGAAAAAAAGGAATGTCTAAAAATAATATTAGTTTTTGTCAAAAAAGTAAATTCTGTGAGCTTTAGGTGCCTCATTCAGAGAGAATTGTGTTCTGGAAAAAGTTCGGATTTTTCGCTAATTGCGATCCAGAAATATCAGGAAATCCAAGGTCCAGAAATCAGCGATCCCATTTATGTATAAAAATTCTTCTATATTTTATTCAAAAATATTAGAGCTGGAATATATATTTGGCATCTCTTTCATTTGCAAATTATTTTTTTTTCCTGGTCGAATAATAAATGTGATTAGAGATAAAAGTAAGCTTATACATAATTATTTATTTAAATTATGTTGCATATAATTTATTTAAAATTTCATGTTGTGAAAATATCAATGATTTAAATTCATAAAGACGTTAATTTTTTTAAATATGTCATTGATCATTTTACACAAGAAGTTTTCAGGATTTTTGAGTTGGGCTTACAATCACCACTGATCATTAAATTGATCTCAAAAAAATAATGGTAATAATTGTCTTTCTTTATTGATTTTTTTCTTATGAGGCTATATTTTTCTGATTATATTGCATATTGATAAAATTCTGAAAAAAAAATAATGTTAACTTTATGTAAAAAAAAAAAAAAAAGGAATTTCTGTGAGATTCATGTGCATCATTTAAATTATCTCTAAAGAATCTCTTTAGTGATTTTTATGATTATATTGCATATTCATAAAATTCTGGAAAAAAAATAATGTTAACTTTATGCAAAAAAAAAAAAAAAAAAAANAGAGCGACACTCTGTCTCAAAAAAAAAAAAAAAAAAAGGAAATTCTGTGAGATTCATATGCATCATTAAAATTATCTCTAAAGAATCTCTTTAGTGATTTTTCTGATTATGTTATTCATTTTTAGTGGAGAGACCATTGGATGCAAGCTATATATTACTTACCTGAGACTTGTTCTGTGCAAGAGGGAGATAAAATCACATTAACTGCTTATCATGATGAGTACAGTTTGTGGTTTGCCATTCCCAAGTATTACTGATGTTTTTTTCATTTATGCATGTGTATGTTATGATTGACATTTCATAGCCTTATTCAAGTGCCTCAACTTTTTTTTCCCAGCATTATACATTTAATTTTATATTAGTGTTAAAATGGCTCGGAATTGAAAACTATTTTGCTTGTTATTGAATTATTAAAAAATCACGAATTATTGTGATAAAATCTCATTATTGAAATATATTTTTAACAATTTGATTGTGCTGTTTCTGAACATTTAAATAGGTCATAAGAAAAATTAATTACTACTTGTACTTTGATTTTTATAGTTTCAGATCCCTTGGAATTTCTTCAAAAATTTAAAACATGATTATCCTCTTATATGCTGTTCTCTTACTGACACTAAGTAAATCTAAAAATCATGAAGAAATAAAAAAATATATACATATTTTGGTGCATAGTGTTTTTAAAAAGTACTTTTAAATGTGCATATTTGCAATTTTAATTTTTAAAAGCCCTTAGAGGTGCTTTTTTTATTGGGTGTTTTTTAGTACTTTATTTTCCATTTTCCACAATGAGATTACTTAGCATGTCGATTTTCACCACGAATGATACAAAAAGCGAGGTTTTCACATTGTACAGGGCTTCAAGTGCAGCGCATATTGCGCATTTTGCGCCAAATCGGTATATTTGCGCATTACTGCGCAGAAACGACATTTTATGTTAAATTTGCGCCGAATCTGCGCCAAAAATGTTTTGGGGACCAACTAAACATTGCCAAATTTTAATAGCAAAAGAAAATTTTTTCTCTTGTTGATTTCATCGTTATTGATGTACCATCGTCTTCGTCAATGGAAAGCTAATGGCCTTCTTGCGCTATTCTATTTATAGATTAGTACCATGATCCTTGAATTAACTAGGGGACCATCCACTAAGTACATAATTTCATGTTGATCCTCAGAACAGTCAAGAATCACAAAGCTTCATAACCTCAAACTTTCTATCTCCGTTTTATTCATGTAATTAGATAAAGATAAGATTAAATAAGGATAAAAACTAATTGAGTTTCATAACTTAATTTTTTTATATGAGGGACCATCCACTAAGTGCAGATTGTTTTTAAACAATTATTTTACTTTGTTACTTTTTAAAAAAAAAAATTTTTTTTTTACTTATTGCATTTTATTATTGTATTATTACCTTCAAAATTTTCAGTGCTCTTATTTTGTTTTAGGAAATAAATTAATAATATTTAGAGGCAAGATTTTAAATAAGTATGAAGAGAGGGGTTTTCAATATTTTAAATGCAGCAAAAAATCTTATGTTTTTCAGATTTGTCATTCAAAAATACTTTAATTCATCTCTTAATGATTTGATTTAAAACAATTGATATAAAAAATTTTAATTATCACAGATTTGTTAAATATTATGAGTGTAGGGACAATATAATAATTTACTTCTGACAAAATTTTTTTAGCTTCAATACTCATTGTATTTGCATTTAAAAATTATTTAATTTTTTTTAATCATTTCATTAATGCAGTACTTTATAAGTAACCAATTTTAATAAAAATTTATTAGGGGCCATTCACTAATTTACATTTGTAATATAAATTTATTAAAGTTTTCTTAATTTGCTTAATTCTTTACATATTTTTATAAATTTGGTATGATCAATATTAATCTTGTTAATGTTGTGTTGAATATACTATTACAAATAACATTTATTTAAATTTTAATAAAATTACACTCGATAACCTTAAATAATAGTTAAATTAATTAGAGTTTTGAATTACCTTTTACAGAATTAAATAAAGTAATTATTAATTTAAAAAATAGTATGAGCCACTCAATGTTGAATTTATTAAATTTTTTTTTAATATTTCGGCAATATTAAATAAATTTTTAGGTCTTTTCCACACTGAAACACCATTGATTCACTTGCTGTATGATGAAATGCTGTTCCTAGTTAAAGCATTGTTAGGACGTTTTTTTTAAAGAGTTTTGGTTTTCATGTTTGTCAGGAAAGGACTTAAAATCATTGGATGTAGAAAACGCAGAAATTTGGCAAAATTCAAATTTAATAGATGTTGGACTAGATACCACAAAGGTCATGACATCCTTATCTTCTTCAGAAAAAAAAATTATGTATTTAGGTGTCAGATCTTTTTACTTGGCATGCACAAAACATTTATTAAAAGCATTGCCTCTAAAAAATAGGTTGCTGTGCCCTCTTAAAGTGTTGCATCCTGTAATGAGAATGGAAGAAACTTCTATTAAGTCAATAAGATATCTGGCAACAGTAACCCCATCCATTATAAAACCTGGAGAGGCATCTTTGTTACTAGATGAAGGGGGCAAGGTTACATGGGGAACCAGAAGGTTATTCTTCTGACTCAAATGAATATGCACAAATTGATGTGTTTTGGAAAAACTATTTTGTGAAGAAAGATAATTTGGGAAATATCAAATATCCTCTTATAACAAAGCTCTATTGTGCGTACCACATGGGAATGCCGATGTTGAAAAAGGTTTAAGTGTGATCAAAAAGCTACTTGACAATAAGGCAAGTTTAAATTTGCATAGTGTTAATGGTTTGAGAGAAGTTGTGTCACATATCAACAAAATAGGGGTTTAAATAACTTTTAAGTTCACAAAGATATGATTAAAGTGGCTCATGCAGCATTTAAAAATTATTCTGCTCGACTAGAGGTTGAGAAAAAAGAAAGCAAAAAACACTGAAACTGAGGAAAGCAGATTGAAAGCTGCTGAAATTGATTTGCAAAAAAAATTGAAGGCTTCTCAAGATCTCTTAGCCGCAGCTAAAAAAATATTAAAGATGGGTAAAATAATAAAGACATGTCGATTATAGAAAGCGGACGGATCCTCTTATCTGAGGCTAAGTCGAGGATAGCAGAATATTTAACAGCATTGGAAGGTACCAAAAAGAAACTTAATTTGTTAATGCAGGGACCTTCAAAAAAGTGTAAAAAATAAGATATGTTATTAATGGACAAAATTAAAAATTCTTGTTATTAAATTCTTCTTTTAATTCTATTTATTAAATATGCTCCAAATCTTTGTTTTGCTGCTCCAAAATTGCTTTTTTGTTGCTCCAAAGATGCTCCAAAACCATGTTTTGCCACTTGAAGCCCTGCATTGTACCACTCAATGCTTTCACAATCCATTTCAACCTACTGTCGGTTCCTAGCATATGAAAGCGCCAATCATTCTATATATTTGATGAAATAATTGCTAGTGAGCATGTGGGTATACTGAACTTGATTCGGTAGAAAGGATTCTTATGTTCTCATGTGCAACTCTGCTACATTTTGCAAGAAATTGTCAATTTTAGGCTTTATTTTATGCCCTCTGAAATGGGACCAAGAAATATCTGGAATTTTTGCCGATTGTGAGGATCAATGAAACATTGCAAACTTTTTTTCCCTAATAGCAAAATAAAATTTTATTTCTATTGTCAAGAAACTACTATCAAGAAAAGAGTTTATTTTATCATGATCATGTAATTATTTTCCATTTTGTAAATGTGTATGTATGCAGATCTTTGAACAGTAGGAGGAAAAAATTCTTATTAGTACACATGTCCTAATTTGAGCAATTTTTTTTTAAAAAAAAAAAGTGCTTGAAAATATTTTTGAATGCTTAAAAGATGCTTATTGTTTGTTTGAAAATTTGGCTACGTACCCTGTTTTAATTTCTTATTGATTAATTTGGCTGCTTTTTTTTAAATCTAAGTTCAGTGTTATGAATTGAAAGGCATATTATTAATGTGTGCTTAAATGTTCGATTCTGCACTGTAACTTCTGTTTAATCAGACATTAATAAATTAAATATTTTTGCACTGAACTTTATTGTACTTAAAACTTAACTTTTTACAATAATTTATTCCTATGGGTCTTCAGAAACCTTGTTTAAGGTCCAGTTCTTCAACCTGTGGCTTGCAATTCATTGTTGGTTTCCATAAAATATGCTTTTTTTCATCTAAGCAAACGTTTTATATAATTGCACAAAGATTTTTATTATAATAGTTAATTGATTCCAGGCAATAATTAAAATTTGGAAGCTAAAAGTGACCATTTAGCATGTACTTATAAAAACAATAGATTATTTAGCATCTTAATACTCCTTTAAAGACTCTTATAAGAGAGAGTTGATTTCAACAACTAAATTGCATTCAAACTTTTCATTTATATCCGTGTGTAAATCACTAGGTAGATACTTAACATTCAAGATCTTTCTTAAATATGATTTGCTTCTTCCTTAAATTGTATCATTCTTCTTAATATCATAATCTCACTGAGAGATACATTGCACTTAGTACAGTTTTACTCATTTGATTAGCACATAGAGATAAGGATATTAATTTGGTTCCTATGCAGATTGAATACTAGAGCTTATTTATCCTCAGTTGGCTGACATTATCAGAAATATGAGTGAAAAAAAAGTTACAAATTGTATCACCTTCTATTTTCTTCTTTATTTCTATACTATATTTATGCTGTATTTTTTAAATGCGCATAACGTAAGATTTTTATTAAAATGATTTTTAACTTAAAAGATGAGATTTTAAAACACAATGCATAAATTTATGTGCATATTTTGAATATGGTAAGGATTATTATAATCAACTGACTTCTAACATTTTAGAACAAATAATAAGAAGATTGCAGATAGCCCAACATGCAATTGCCTAGTTCATGTTACAGATTCACGGATGAGAATAGGCATGAAAAATGACATGCAGAGAAATAATAACTACATGTCTATGCTGAAAGAGGTATGTGATGCATAATTTATTTGGGAAAATGTATTTAATTTGTGTGACCTTATAATGTAAATTTTCTGTGCAGATATGTATTTTTGCATTTTGACACTTCAGTATTTTACATTTTTTGAAATCAATCTTCTACCAGCCTCCTTCTATGTTTAATTTTGCAATATAAATTCAAACAGCTTCCTGTGTGATGTAATTTTTATACATTTGAGACTAGGCTGAGCTCTTATATATATTCTAGAAAAAATAACTGAAAGGGAAATTGATTAAAAAACTCTCATTATACAGTTCGGAAAAGATAAAGTTATTTCCCATTATGATATCAAGGTTCAAATTGTTTATGAGTGTGTAATGGTGTTACATGTACTTTTGTTTTTTTTTTAATCAATTTATTTTATGCACTTTAAACTTTTTCAAAGTTAAACTTAAGAGCCCCTTTATCTTCCAACCATACTCAACTGTAGAAGGGATGAAAACAGGAAAAGAAAATTCAAAATATGTAATCTTTTTTTTTTTTTTTAAATTTTCTCAAGCTGATGACGAATGTTTACTCTATTTGCAGTATTTTTTGATGCACTGAAAATAAAAGGCCACTCAATGACAATTTGAGTTATAAATAGTGTTATATTTTAGAATCTGTATTTATTTTTTCTGAGAAAACTATGCCAATACAATTCAACTACACAATCAACAATTTTTGATATATAGTTAGATAGTATACTGTAGCCTGTCTTTAGATTTTCGATAAGCATCTTTGTTTTTATGCAATCAATGTTAAAATAATTTTTTAGGGCCATCTAAATTAGTTTTCATCAGTTTTAACTGTAATAAAATTAGGTTTTGAAAAAAATCTGAACACTTAGAAACTTAGTTTTAAATTACTTACACAAAACCGCAGATTGCTTTTAAGTTTTGAGGAAAAATTCATGGAAATTCTAAAAATTATTGAGTGCTATTTTTCTGTATCTAATATAGCAACCTCTTTATTTCCTACCTAAAGACATACTAAAAGACATTGTGCTGTCCAATAATACTATATCATAAAAATTTAGTTAAGAACGAAAAATATTAAGAAAACACAAATTAAAATTTTTACCTAAAATCCAAAATGGCTGTGTAGTGTCTTCTTTATAGGGTAAAGTAAAAATTTGTGCATTTTATATTTGTTACATTATTCTTGCTAAGGCATGATTTGAGATCCATGCTTGAATTGGAAATCTAGTTTTTTATTGCTTTTGTTATAGAAATATGCACGTAGCAATAAAAATATTTATTAAATATGTAAACAAAATAAATTACATGTTGTATACAAACATGTAATTAACATATAAAACAACTTATATTGCTGCTTGGTAGCCTTAACAGTTTGACATCTTCAAACCCAAATGAAATATTCAAAATAATAGTAGATAACTGAACAAAGAAAAAAAAGAACTTTTTAATCTGATACCATAATAAAATATTTAAGCTGCCCATTATAAATTTCATACTTATATCACCACAAAAGGACAGTTTATTTTCTGTTATTAAGTTTTCCAAGTAGGCAGCTGTTTCATTCATACTTATTAAAAGATACATTACTTCAAATCTGAACTTCTTAAAAGATTTTCTCTGTGTTTAAGACAGAAATTCTCTATTCTGTTGAAAGATTTTCGTAAACAATTATATTTATGCTGACTTTAAAAATCAGTAAAAATACCATAAAATTCGGTTAGTTTTTAAACATAAACTCAAGATAAAAGTTTACATATTCTGTGTGCAATTTTATTCTTGTGTTAATCAAGATAATAATTTACTATTATCTTCCTGTGACTAAATTTGATGATGTTTGTTTATTAGAATGGCAATATGATTCTTTTTGTGTGTTTATTTAGAAAGTATATCATGCTATATATTTTTTTTATTTTTTTTTTATACTTTTTATTTTACATTGATTGTTTATTACAGATTATTTCCCCTTCATCCATTTGTCTTTCCATTAGTGATGGTTCACTTCTTCCTCTAATTGCTGCAAAATTAGGTGCTAAAAAGGTAAGCAATTTTTCTGTTTTTATTATAAATTTCTATTAGTGATAGATCATAATTATTACTCGCACACCAAATAACTATGATTAAAGAAAACATATTTTGTCCTTTGAAAAAAATAAAGGCTAGTCTTTCTTAAAACATTGTCATAGAATTTGTTTTAAAGAATCTACAATGTTGATGAAATTTTTGAGGCCTCTCTGGGATGTAATGAAAATACTCAATTTATGATGATTTATTAACCATTTGAACATCAATTTCAATCTTTTTCACAACTCCAATCTAGCTGTCTTCAATACTGGTGCGATTTGTCGTCTTGTCCTTCAATTAAAAAATAATATAGCTGTGCAATTTCATCCTGAATTGTAACTATTTAAAGATAAATAGCTTTTAATAGTCAGTTGAACGATTTGAAATATTCTATCATTATTTTCTTTTTTTAAATATGGATATAATTTTCTTCTCCTTCGAATAAAATAATTGGATTTTAAGTTTATTACTATAGTTTTATTTTTAAAAGAAGGATATACAGTGGAACCTGTCTAAATTGACCACCCTCGGGACCAAGTCAAATGGTTACTATATAGAGGTGGTCACTTTATAAAGACTCTTTAAAAATGACTCTTTAACCCCTTAACTGCCGCTGGCGTATATATACGTCTCGGCCAGGCGATGCGTTAACTGCCGCAGGCGTATATATATGCTTTCCCGAAGTACAATGCTTTGCATTGCTCTGCTATAAATAGAACTACACCCCCGACTTGACCATGCAGTAAAATGCCCTTGAAAGTGTTTGCAATGAATGTATGTATTACCAATTTCGGGAAGGGGGAATGTTAAAGGGATGTGTTGGAAAAGTTATATCATAATATTTATTGCTTGCGTGTTTCTAATTGAGTAAGGTCGGGTTTATTCTTCTTTCGCTTTCGTTTCCCATGTATATTCGTCGAGAATCCTGCTATCAGTGCAATGAATGTGATGTTGGTTTATGTGTCCAACCATGTTTCAGGATTTATCATACAACAGCTAAGTTTTAACATCTTTCATATTGTATTTTTATTCTTTAATTTAAGTTTTGTATTTTCTTTTTTTTTCCTTTTTCTTCTCTTGTGAAAGTGAACTGTTTTTAAATTGCAAAGCGTGCAGCTTTTCCCCCCACCAGAACACCGCGTAACAAAGCGCACTTAAACAAAAAAATGGTGGCACTGGGGAATGAATCACGTAAATTTTACTCGGCAGGTAAGGGGTTAAATAAAACTTGTAGAAAATGGTCACCTTACTCAGATGCTCACTTTACCCAGGTGGTCACAAGGTCAAGAAAACTGAGATGGGCACAGTATGGGCTGGGCTCTCTATGGGTTGTCATCAGAGTGTCATAGCGTTTTTAAAAAGGGCTTAAAGGTGCTTATTTTCGATTTTCAAAAGCCCTTAAAGGTGCTTTTTTTCATTGAGCGTTTTTAAAAAGTGCTTAGTTTTCCCTTTTTAAAAATGAGATTTTTCCTTTACCATGTTTATTTTCGCTATGAATTATGCAAAAAGACACAATTCACATTGTTTTATTCAATGTTTTGACAATTAATTCAACCCTAATCTATTTTGGTGTATTGTCACAATCCATTTTATGAAAACGCCATTGGCTTTACATGATTCAAAACTTCATGATTTTTGCAAATTATCAAAAACAATGCCAAAAGTTTTTTTTTTTTTTTTGGGCATGACGGTTAAAACAAGATAAACCCGTCAATTGCCAAAAATTTTCCAACCCTACCTAATTGTGTTATTTTTTTAAAGTGCTTAAAAATATTTGAGTGCTTGAAAAATGCTAAAAGGGTGCTTATTTTTTGTTGAATAATTTGGCTACACTGAGTGTTGTGCCACTGAGTTTAGTTTAGAATATTTGATGTAATTTAAGATCAAACACTCAGATTCATATGCATTAAGCAGGAATCATTTTTTAAAAAAGTTTCTGCAGTAAAATTGTTGTTCTTTGGTGTAACAATTTCACTTCACTACTTTCTTGAATTAAACTTTTATTTAAAAACATTATTTTTTTCCATATAGATTTACTCAGTTGAATCTAGTCGTTTTCATTATGATATGATGAAATCATATATAGAAGCTAATGATGAAGCTGATACCATTTGTGTTCTCTCCAAAGAACCAGCTGACTTAACCGGAAAAGATTTAGATATGAAAACGGTTTGATATTTACTTTTTAATTATTGATTTGAAACCTGAAACTAATTGTTTTTATTATTGAAAGCTGTTTTAAATTTAAAACTGTTTTATTTCTTTAATGATTTTATTTCTTGAATTTCATGAATGGTGTTTACTATAAATTTCAGCTAATAGGTTATAAAAAGCATTTCCTAAAGTATGAACTCTCGCTAAGTTGAAAACTTTTTTTTTCTTTTTTAAAATTCAGTTTCAAAAAATAAATTTAACAAACCCATTTAAATTTAACAAAATTTTAATTTAATGTGTGAATTACATTTATGCACGAAATTTTATTTTGCTATAAACATTAAAATTTTAATGAAAGTGAACTGCTTAAATTTTGGAGTTAACTAATCTATAAATTAAGTTTTAAATTTTTCATATTCTTTTTGTAAAATTTATATGTAAAATTATGTATTTTTTTTATTCCTCCCTTCAAAAGCCAGTTAATCTGAATTAAATTTATTTTCAGAATGCACTGAACCTATTTTCTTTGAAAATGATTTTTTTGTAACAAATTTTTTAATAACAATTTTTTTTTTCCGGGCAATTCCTATTCCTATTTTGAGATACTGTTAATTGGCAGCAAAGACATTAAACATGTAGGAAAGTTGTGCCAATATATTAATATTTTCTGTGATAAATGTTTGTTACTTCAAAAATTATATTGAAAGAAGCAACAAAGTGAAAAAAATAATAATATATTTTCTAATTTGCAAAAGCTGGTTATGAAATTTTTGTACATTCTTTCACATCTGAAATAGCACTCAAAATTTGTTAGATAATTTTTTCATACCTTCCTTCCAATATTAGAAAAGTTTTCTACTATTTTGTTAAAATATATAAAGACATATGAAGAAAGACTCACAAATTTCATTTTATAAAAATTACTTGGCAAAATTTCTAAAATTTTGTAACTTCTCAAGTCATGTAATAACTCCCATATCCAGTGTTTGACTACAGCCCTGCTACAATGTATGATTGAGTTGATTTTTATTAGTTTTTATGATACATCACAGTTTTATGAACCATTCTACAATTTAAAATAATTGTAATAATGAGTAATTTATTTTCAAACTTCTGTGTCTATTTATTAAAATATTTATGAGTGCAAAACCTGTTTAATGTTTTAGGTTTTGTTTCAAATAACTTCAGAAGATTTGTGTAACATGAACGAATAATTTATTACTTTTAAGTTACAGACTAAAAGCATGACCTCAAAGTCAGAGTTTTGGTCTTCGCTGAGTTCTACTGGAGGATAAGGGGGGGGGACAATGATAAAGGAGTAATCCCTGGATCTAAAGGAGTCCATTAAGGGAGTTCTCTCTATAGAAAGTAGTTGTAAACATATTGGTTACAATTCTAGTGGCAGAAAACCTCTTGCATGGCAGCAGGAGCTACAGATTATTGCAGCATCTGTAGATTTATTTTCATCTAACTTTTATTTTTAAAAAGCAAACAAAGGAGAGAAAAAATGTGAAATTTCTTGTTGAAACATCTGTAAGCTTGATTCTAATAAAAATTTAAAAACTTAATTGAGAAAGCACAGTGAAGATTAAAAAGTTCTGTTCCTTGATTACAGGCTTAACTGTCTTAGAATTTATTCCGTTTTTTTAGTATCATTGCATAAAATTCAACTTTAAGTTAGAGAACATAAATTCTTTATGTATAATTTTTAACAATCGTAAAAATTAATCGTTTGCAAATATTGCCAGATGTATAATATATTAAGCTGAATTTTTACAAACTCTTTCTTTTATCTTTTTCTTGGTGTGTTGAAGTTGCAGATAAATTTGGATTTATGCAGATAGTGCTTCAGATTCAATCTGTAAACTGTAATGTATTGCCTACTGTTTTTTTCCCCCCAATTTGTAGTGTCATTTTATCTCTTTTCTTTTTATTGATAGATTTAAAAATAATAACTAAAAATAAATAAAAAATCAAATGTTCATTTTATTTTAAATTCAATAATTATTGCATATTTTAAGGCAAAGTAATAAAACAGTAGAAGGTGCCAAAAAACAATTATTTTAATTTTTTTTCTGTCTTTTTGCAGGTTAATGTTTTACTAGCTGAACCTTATTTTGCTAATTGTGTACGTCCTTGGGAATTGATGAGATTCTGGCATTTGAGCTCTATGCTTCGACCATTATTATCAGAAGAAATTCAAATAATTCCCCAAGTTGGAAAACTGAGGGGAGTTGGAGTAGAATTTGATGATTTATGGAAAATTAGAGCCCCTCTGCAGAATGTTGAAGGTTTTGATCTTGCAAAATTTGATGAAATGATTCAGGTATTAAAATTTAATGTCAGATATATAGTTATTCAAATTAAAATACTGACTTTTTAATTAAAACATCTAGGCTCCCTATAATAGACAAATATATGAAATATTTTTTCCTATAAATATTAATTGAGTTGCAATGACTGAGTGGTTAAAGTACTGACTGAACAGTGTGAAAAATTAGGGTCCTTTCTTTATACTATAATTTAATATTACTATTTATATTTTAATAGTAGTGTGGATACTGATTTAAAATTATTACAATTTGATATTATTAATTTTAATCAATTTGATTTGTATTAATTTTTTACATTTTGTGATGTTTAACTTTAATTCATTAGTGAATAATTATTGAATTTATTTTAAATATTTTGATTGTTAAAACTTATTAATTAAAGAATGTTTTTCTTAGAGAGCGATATCACTTGCTGATGCAGCGATTGAACCACATCCGCTTTGGGAATATCCATGCAAACCAGTTACCAAGATATTCGAAATAATAAATTGTGATTTCCTTAGAGACAGTTTTAAGGATTCATTTGAAGCATCTGGTGAAATTGAAATTTCCAAGTATGTATTTTTTTAAATCCTCTTTATTTACTCATAATTTTATTTTCTTGTGTATATTAAAGTTGGTGTTCTGTGTCTACAAAGTGCTGCATTTGTTGACTTTTTTTTTCCTCCTAAATTGTATCTTTGAGTGAATTCATCAGGGATGTGATTTTTTCGTAAATTAGCGGATTTCCGCTTTTTTTTTTTTTTTTTTTTTTCAGATTTTTCCCGCTAAATTCCGCTGAAATTTTTTTTTTTTTTTTGCACAAGTTAAAATATTTTATGAGGAATTAAATTTTCCGCGAAGCAAAAGTATTGAAGTCCTCATTCCTCCCTCAAACATTGATTTTCGTATTTACCTGATTTAAAAGTTGAAAGTTGCAATTCTTAATCAGGCGATTTAAATGTCGTACATTGCGATTCTTATTTACGAGATTTAAAAATCCAATATCGCGATTTGTAATTACGCGCCTTTAAAACCCTATGTAGCGATTCGTATTCACGCGAGCTTAAAATCCAATGTCGTGATTCTTTTTTGCGGTTGTAATATCGAACATTGATTTTTCTATTTATACGTGCTTTGAAAATTAGACAGTGGAATTCGTATTCGCGCTATTTAAAAATTACGCATCGTGATTCGTATTCACGTGATCTAAAAATTACGCATCATGATTTGTATTTTCGCATTTTTTAAATTCGATATAGAGTTTCATATTCACGTGATTTAAAAGCCTCATTTCGGGCCTCGTGATTTAAAAGCCTCAAGCCTCATTCTCTTAATTTAAAATCATGCATGTGATTCATATTTATATATTCATGCAATTTTAAAATTAATCATCGGGATTTATAATCACATGGTTTACAAGTTTAAAAATTGCACTTTTTTGTCAAATTNTATATTAGACTGGTCCAAAGAAAACTTTTTTTTAAAATTTGCGGTTCTTAACCCTAAATACTTGTACACATGACTAAAAAAGCCCCCATGCAAAATTTCAGCTTATTTCAAGTACATTTAGAGGTAGCTCAAAGGCTTTGAAGTTTTTACTTTGAAAACTTAAAAAAATAATTTCCAAATTATCACTACTTATTATTTATTTACTTATCTTCATAAACAATGGTCATATATTATGATAAATATAATTATTATATAGTTAACATTTTGCTTCTTGTTTTGGCAAATTACTTTATTTGGGTTTGGCAACACCACATTGTTTGTTCACATCTGTGACCTGGTGAGATTTTATTGAAACAATGTCAACAAACAAAATTAGATTTAGAAAAGACTCTGAAATTTGGTTACTTGGTTTTCCCATAACTGAAATAAAAGGATGTAAACTACCTTCCATTAATGCAGTACTAAGTAACTTCTTCTTTCACCATGAGAGAAAAACAATACATGAAAGTGCAAGTCACACTGTTGATAGTGTGTTGACCTTCTGGAATAAGGCTAGAATTCTTACAATCGAAAAGCAGAATGCAGTAAGAAAGTTAGAAAAATTAGTTGAGCGGTACCAAAAATTTGAAAAAGAACAGAAATCGGCGTACGAATATTCAAGAAGACAGTGAACAGAAGTTTATCAAAGAATGCAAGATGTTGTGGGATATCGCTCATGTCGGTGCTTTACAGATGATAAAAATTGAAGAGGATAAGAAGTTTTTGCTTAAACAGCGAGAAGGATTTGAAGGCTGCATGTTGTCAGTCGACAGAAAACTTGAGAAGAAAGAGAGAAACGCTCATCTAAAAGGAGGCGATATGAGACACTACTATCTAATAGTGTGGACATGAATAAAAACAAAACTGTATGTTATCCTTCATCAAGTGCTGAAATTAAAGAAGACTGTGGTTCAACTAGCTCATCCTCAGAAAGTGATACTGATGATGATGCTTTTCAATATCCTAGTACTTCAGAAAAGACAGCAAAGGGGGGAAAAAGCAAGCTTCTTTCACCTAATTTAATGTCTGCATTGGATCGAACAAAAACCTCGGATCGCAGTGCTACATTTTTAATTGCAGCAACAGCCCAAACAGTTGGAATAAATGTAAGTGAAAATACTGTTTCACGAAGTACACTTCGCAGACACAGAACAAAATTTCGAGCCCAGTTAGCGAAGGATTTGAAGCATAACTTCAAACCTGATGGTCCGCTAGTCGTCCACTGGGATGGGAAACTCACGGCTAGTATTTCTGGAGAAATGGAGGAAGTTGACCGCCTTCCTATTCTTGTCACAGGAAATGATGTGGAGAAATTACTTGGTGTGCCAAAACTGCCAGTTGGTACAGGCAAGGCAATTGCAAAAGCAGTATTTGATACACTTAAGCAGTATTTGATACACATAGATAAAATTCAAGGCATGTGCTTTGACACTACATCTTGTAACACTGGTATTCACACAGTAGCATGTACATTTTTGGAACAGAAGATTGGAAAACAGCTCCTCAGTTTGGTTTGCAGGCATCATATTTATGAAATCATTATTGGTGATGTGTTTTCTGCAATATTTGGACATTCTAGTGCACCTTGTGTTCTCATGTTTAAGAGATTCCAAAGTCACTGGAATTTTATAGACAAATCTTCTTTCAAATGCCCAGAAGAAACAATAGTACCTTCAGAAAATTGAAAAGTATTAAAAGAAGAAGCTATTAAATTTGCGAAACATAATCTTACGTTTGAAACAAAATCATTGGCAAGAAATGACTACAGAGAGTTTTTAGAACTGACTTTGATTTATCTTGGACAGGTGCCTCCACGTGGAGTACATTTTGCAGCACCAGGAGCATTCCATCATGCACGGTGGATGGCCAAGGTTATTTACTGTTTGAAAATATACATGTTTCGTGAACAGTTCAAGCTCACACCAAAAGAAGCTAAAGGGTTGAAACGATTTAATGATTTTAGCACACACTTGAACATGAAAGCCAGGTTTCGCTGCTCTAACGCAGCTGATGCACCTTTCATAGACTTAGAATTTTTGAAACATTTAAATTTGGTTAAAAATGAATGCAAAGAAATCTCAAAAGCTGCAAGCAATGGGTTGAAGAGGCATCTGTGGTACTTAAACAGTGACTTAGTCATGCTCAGCCTATTCAGCTGTCATGTAAGCACAGAAGATAAGGTTTTAATGGTTGATAAGTTGTTTAAAATAGATAAACATAAAGAAGATGTAACCAATGCTTCTAAACGATTAAAGGAAAAAGAAATCGGAAATGTTAATGAAAAATGATTGCATGATTTTGTTAATGAAAAATCTTGGATGAAATTTAAGTCATTGAATATGCAAGTCGATTTCTTACATTCGTCCCCATCGGAATGGAAGAAATTTGATTCTTACCATGATGGTGAAAAGAAAGTGAAATGTTTAAAGACAGTAAATGATTGTGCCGAAAGGGGCGTAGACATTACGTCATTACAGACTGCAATGAACTGATAACTAAAGATGAAGAACAAAAACAATTCTTACTTCAAGTTGTGGAATCCCACAGAAAGAAATTTAAGGACACTAAAAAAAACACACTTGTTCAAAATGTATGATTTTTTATTAGGATTTTCTTCATATATGCTCACTAATAGATATTGTGTTGGCTCGCTCCCTTGTATTTTATGATATAAATGAGAAATATGTATATATGAGTGTACAATTCATGGTTTTTGATGGGAAAATACAAATAAAGGCATAGTGTCAATGTTTTTTTTTTTTTGTCATTTATTTATTTGAAATGCAAAATCCCAAACTTCAAAGGCTTTGAGCTACCTCTAAATGTACTTCAAATGAGTTGAAATTTTTCATGGGGGCTTCTTTTGTCATGTGTACAAGTATTCAGGGTTAAGACCTGCAAATTTTAAAAAAAAGTTTTTTTTGGACCAGTCTAATATATATATATATATATAATTANTGTATATATATATATATATATATGTATATATATATATATATTCATTCATTCTTGAATTTCCTCTTTTTTACTTTCCAACTACTCTCATCCCTGATTCATTATAAGCTTAGATCACATGTCAGTTATGAGCTCAATCAATCAACTACAAATAATGAAACCTGTAATCACTACTTTTATATCTTTTATAGTTTTTATCATAATGTGCTATTTAAAAAAAGGAAGCAAAAAAATATGCTAACTTGCAGCAATTTCTGGTAATTATTTTAAACTTCGGTTTGATAACGAAAAAAAGGTTCAATTGCAATTAATTTTTCGAATCTGATTGGTTTAAGTATTATGCATGCTCCTCGACAGACTCAATGATGTCCTTGTGGTTGCGAGTCTTAGATTTCAGCCAGCCATGAATTAAGTATAGCTAATTTAACAATTCGCACATAACATATCCATGCACGCTAATGATCATAAGAGTTTTAAACATTTAGCAAAATCACAAATATTTTATAATTTCATTGCAGTTCTTGAACTAAATATTCACTGTCAAAAAAGTCATAAAAATTAAATGTTTAAAGAAAATTGCAAAAAGTTAGAATAATGAATTTGCTCTTGTAAAAATGAATAGGTATTTTTTTTATGATTTTCATGTTTAAATAAGATAATTAATTATTTTGAACTAATTTTTTACAAATTTTCTCTATCACTTTTGAACTTTTTTTTTTATTTTGACCAAAATTATTAATTAAATCCTCCCAAAAGTTTTCTCCTAAAATTAGTTTGTAATGACTACTTGTTGTTTTTGCATATAATAACATTTTTTTGGAATTTTTATGATGCTACTATATGACGCTAAAGCATGCATTTAGAAACTGTTAAGCTTATGTGTCTTTTTATTTTTGTTCTTCTTTTACTTGTAAAATTTAACCAATCATCTAAAATAGTATAAATTTCAACCTAATCAATAGTTATCTTAACCAAAAAATTGTTCTAATAAAATTCTTCTGAATACATGACAATAACTTTTCATCCAATAGTACTATTTTCAGTGAAGAGCGCAGCTAAGATTGGGTTATGGGGGTTAAAACCCTTCTCAGAAGTAGTCCTCAAGTAATAAATCAGCTGCCAATCAATTTTAAAAGAAATTTGATTCGTAATAAACTATCCCTATTGTTATAAGAAAATAACAACGATGCAAAAATAAATGCATTCCAAATAAACGCAAAAATTGTCTTCATTAATCTTTCGGTATTAAAAATAAAGTCATATTGATGTGCTTTTTGCTTCAATGTTGATGTATTAAGTGGCTGTCGTGTCACCAATTTGAAACTGTATGACATAGCAATGTTTGAAAAATAATAAAATTTTTCCAGTTATCTAAAAACGACAAATTTTAGTAAGAAAAAATTAAAACAATCCTAAAATCAAACAAAAACAACAAGTTTGATTTTGTATAATTCAAAATGAAGATAAATAATTGAAATTTTGATTAAAAAATGCTTAATATCCTCTAAATGAAACTCAATAAACTTTTTTGGCAAATTGGTAAATACAGTCTCCTCGTAACCTTCTCTGTTTCTTATTAATTTATAAATATTCAATAATTTTAGTTAAAAATAGTTTATTGTTTAAAAATTTTCCTTTTAAATTGTTGTATATTGAAAATATATATTGCATATTGGGTTGTGCTATAATTTTAAAATCCCACCCAGAAAGGTATTTTGACTTCGCCTGAAACGTTTATCATTACCTTTATAGTCGTTGATTTCTTTTTAACTATTTAAGTTTAAACTATTTATTCATCGAATTAATAGAAAATGAGACTTAGTCAAATTAAACTTATCTTGAGCAGGTTTCTAGTTATTTTCTTTTATTAAATACTTGACCAGACAACATACACACATGCGTGTAAAAAAAGAACTTAACTCAACTAACTTTTCTAATCTCTAACACAATCAAATCAACATTTATTCATCTTAATAGAAAATGAGACTTAGTCAAATTAAACTTACCTTGAGCAGGTTTCTAGTTATTTTCTTTTATTGAATACTTGACAAGACAACAAACGCATGCATGTAAAAAAAAAATTAGCTAATTTTTCTAATCTCTAACACAATCAAATATTGAAAATAGATCTGAATCTTTAACACTATCTACATAACTTCCATTATTAATACGATAATTGCAGAAGGGCCACTGACTATTCTTTCTTACAATATTTTTTATGTAATTACTGTACCTGCATGTATGAACTTTTATCATTTCTTTTTACAGTTCTGGAATTTGTAATGGTGTTGCAATTTGGACAGATTATAGTTATGGGTCTTTAGAAATTTCTAGTGGTCCAGTTGAATTTCCAAAAAAAGACACCCCTATTCAGTGGTACACAAACTGTCAACAAGGGGTATATTTCATGCATCCTCCAGTACCTGTGAATCCAGGAAAGCAAATTCTGAAATACTGTATGAGCTTTAAAGTGACTGAGTCATCATTTAAATTTTCTGTGATAGAGAAAAATTAATTATCTTAAAATAGTTAAAGTTTATTTTAAATAATTCCTTTTCACATTTATCATTGTTTAAATCATTCAATTTACTGCATCTGTAACTTTGGTGGGAAAAGAATTATTTTTAAAATTTTTTCTTTTTTAAATTTTTGATATGTATGCTATGATGAATAGGCCAACATATGTAGGTAATATTCAAAGTTTTAAAACTAAAATCTTGTGAATATTTATTACAATTTTTTAGCAAACTTATATGTATGCTGGAATATGTTTCAAAATCTCTGTTTGTTATTAATTTTTTAATAAAATATACAAAATATGTTTTTATTTTGTTTAGTCGAAAGTGATGAAAAAAATTTAATTAAATGGAGTTATGGAATAGTACCAACTTGAAGGTTTTGAAATCCCGTCCCAACTTTCGAAAATGGTGCCATTTGTGACAAGTGAAAAGTTTCTAGAGCCAGTTATGATAAGAAAGTTATTTTTCAATGATAAAATTTGTGCCTTTTCCGTTCATCATCCACTGTGATGTATAATTCCCAGTCAGGAATTTCAACCTCGAAGGGAAATTTTAACAAACACTTCTGTATATTTCGTGAATTAAATAATGGTTCATTTAATGCAGGAAAAATAGCAGCGAATTCCATAGCCCCTCCCACCGTGAGCTAATCTACATTACATCATATATGAGCTAATGTATATTGGTAAGGACATTCGATCACGTTTAAGGAACATTCAAACAGTTTGAAGAAGAAAAAAAACGCTCATGGGAGTTCGGAAATGTAAACAAAAAGCTGATTGTCAAATTCGTGTGTGCTAATTTTTCCCATCCTGTGTAAATGGTCCCTTACACTTTTATGAATGAAGAAAATTAAAATTAGATGTAGTCATAAAACTATGTTACGACTGCTTGAAGATTTTGAAATCTAACTACAGCTTTCAAAATTGATGTCATTTGTGTCGAATCAAAATTACGACTGCTTCCGTAAATAGTTATGATGATTTATTTTATTACATTCCTCATCAAAAGTCTATGCAGACTCCTGTTTTTCCAGAAATTTTTTTAAACAGAAAGCATTTTATCGATTTAAAGCTTTGTTTATTGTAATGGTCTTTTTCTCTGAATAAAATAATAGGAAATAAATAATGTTAATAGTAGGAAATAATATAAAGACCAGCATGCAAATTTATTTCCTACTTTGTTAATAGTTGGAAATAAATTTGCATGCTGGTCTTTATATTTTGACAAATTTATTGGATAAATCTACTTAGGTAGTAACAAAAACAAACGGCTAATGAACATACTTGGCTTTAAGATGTGCCAGATTGACGACATCAAATGGCTATATTTCGGATGTATTTGACGGTCTATTGGTAAAGACTTAAGTTGACTGTTTACTTCCAAGGTGTTCTTATTCAATCATTTTTGTGTATTAATTAAATTAAAATATGAATCAATATTAATTAACTTTTACCTATATAACTGTGTGGTGAACCTACAAATGTAAAAAAAGACTTAAGAAATGTGATTAAAGCTTCAAAATGTGTGTTCAAGAGTTTATTTTGAAAGAAGATGGCTATTCTCGGTGAAAAATGGTTCAGTGGCTGTAGAAATCAGCCGATGACTATGAATTGGATTATTGAAAGAAAGGCACAAACTGTTAAAAAGCAATTAATATAAAACAAACTAGTTATTTAAAAATAATCAATTCTCATGAAGACAACTTCATTGTAACAACAATGAAAGACCTTTCAGCGCTCTGGAAGTAGTTAGAACTGTTGGAGTTTCAACTGTCAGATGAAACGGTGAGTCAGCACTTAGAAACTTATGATCTTCAGAGTAGGATGTTGATAAAGAAACCACAAACATTTTTTTAAAAAAATCTGGGCAAACTGTAAGTACTGGACCGAACACAAACACACAATGGAAGAGAATTCTCTAAACTGACGAATCCTAACAATATTTCATTTCCCTTCACCAGACTTGAATGCGCGGTCCTTTCAAAGCACTTTCGTCCTGATTTTGTAGTGCCTGCAATTGAAGAATGGAGAAAGCAGTGTCACCCAATTGAGATGTATTGAAGGCGCTCGCAAGTAAATTAGTTTGAAACAAGGGAATAATGGACAAAAAAGTGTGTCACAATTTAATTCATAATTGCATGCTGTCTCATCAAGAACTCGGATTATGGGACGAAGTCTTGTTTGAAAACAAGATAATAATCCAAATCATACTTACAAGTTAAGTAGTAAATATCTGGAAAGCAAAGAAAATGCTCACGCCATCACAAAAACGGAGTGGTCACCACTAACTCTTGATTTGTCACCATTCGAAGTTCTGTGTGGCGAACTACTGCCAATAAACACGAATGACCTATGAAGAAACTGCTGGAGTCACATAGAATGTCAAACTTAGAATAAATTGATCAAATGAATGCCTCTCACATAGGAAACTGTAATCAGTAACTAAGGTCGTCACTTCGACGAAACTAAACTCTGATCCCGCGCTAAGGACCTCAAATTATTAGGCACTAAATTAAGCCAAATTTCAAAATTCTTAACCAAAGGCAGAGTTTTAATTTTTTTATGATTGATTTTTTTTTCAAACAGAAACATTCATAGATAATAATAAATTTATAGTTAATACAAATTTACTATAATTAAATTATGTTATAAAATGTAATTAAAATCAAGTGTCATTTTGCGATTGGGTAGGAGTAAAGGAGCAATGAATGGGAGAGACTGAAAAGTGTAGATGTTTTATTGTCTTTGAGTAAAAGAAATAGGAATTATTTGGGGTTAATTTTTGATAACTTCTTAGGCATAAATTCTTAATTTTTGATAACCTAAGGCAACGGTATGCTATTGTAACGCGAAAACATATTTTATGCAAAAATATTTGGATGATAATAATCGTCTTGCTACCACATAATCTGTATGTTATGATAGTCATTCTCGTTGTAAAAATAAGTTCGACTTTTTCTTGATACAGTGCAGAACCCGTTATCCGGAACAAAATTCGAGAATTTTCCCGCCATTTTTAAAAAAAAAATTTTTTTTTCCTCATAAGATTTTAGGATTTTTCTTCTTTTTTGAAAGATGTTTACCTTACCATCATTTCGGAAATAATCATTAGTGTATTACTTCATTGTTTTTTCTTTTTAAGATTATTTCCAACTATTTTTGTTTGTTTTTTTAGTTGAGTTTAACAATAAAAAAACGTCTTTTTGCATCAATTCAGAAACCGGAAAAATCAGTTATCCGGAATAGCGATGGTCCCGATAGTTCCGGATAATCGGTTCCCTACTGTATTAGATTTCAAACTTTATACAATTAACACATTATTTCCTTTGAAAAACACAGTTTAGAAAAATTTTCTTGGCCAAAATATTAAATTAGTTACCATTTTAAACTAATAAAAATATTTTACTAGTTGTCATAAAAGACGCTATAAATACTTCATTTTAAAATTTTTAGTTTTAACCTTTATTATTAAACTTTTATTTTTATAAATATTTTACTATAAAAAAGTTTAATGCATATATCGACACTTTTTTTAGTTACATATTGTTCGATAACAATAATTTGTAAAGCTGGGTCAAATTTAGAATCCTGATTTTAAAATATGCTGTTAATGGTAATTTGTTTATACTTAATCATTAGGAAACAACAACCTTAAACGCTAATTGCTGTAACAAAATAGTAATTTAGGTTCATAATAATATTAGAAATTTAACAACTGCTTATAGATGTTTACATTTAAAAGAATGCAATTAAAAAAAATCGTAAATACAGTCAATCCTCGATATCTCGAACTTGAAGGGAGAGGAGAAGCTGCTCTGGGAAAAAATTCATCAACGTCAGAGTTCATCCTCTAGAAAGGACCGCTCTCTTCCTATTCAACTGAAGCAATCTGAAATTATCACGCCGCCTTCAATGGGACTTAGGGGAAATTCATTATTACCATTGCAGTACTCAAGTTGTGCTTTCATGACTGGAAAAATATTCACTATCAACTAAATGTTTTATAACTTAAATTATTTCGTAATGGTAACTTCCATAAATAATTAGGGTGAATAACATTCAAAATAAATTACACTTTTTTATAGTAAGAACATTCCATCAAGTAAAAAAGTCTGTATTACTACAGCGGTTCCCAAATTTTTTCGAATGAAACCCTAAATGATCTGACTTCTTTCAACGGAACCCCGATTTCGTAACTGTAATAATTTAATGCATGTTACAATTTAAAGTGCCTTATGTAAAAATTTAATGCATTGATATCCACAAACTAATTGTCAGAGGCAAAAAATAGTTTAATAATTATTTAACTGCTCAAAATCAACATTTCAGCATATTTTTCGCTCACATAATTCCTCGATATTAACTTTTGTTTAGAATTCTATAAATAACACTTATATAATTCAATTAATTATTAAAAAGAAGTTTTTTCTTGTGTCATAAGGGTTAATAGGTTCAATCATTTAATTTTTTTCATGGCTTTTTCAGAAATCTAGATTTTGATACTTTATTAATCCTTCAGACTCGGGGAAACTTTAACCTTATTCTTAAGAAGCCTTATTCTTTCGAATAAGGTTTCTCAGTTTAAGAAACTTTAAGTTGTTACTTTTATATATGTAATGTAAAGGAAATAAATGATGAAAAGTCATTAAGAGTGGTGAAATACGATTCCTCTAAATTTTTCTCATCAATCCCACAATTTCAATTGAAAAATTCTGATGTCGGTGAAATTTTCTTCCTTTTCGCATTTGATAAGTTATTTATTTTCTGGTTGTCATTATTTTAGAAGATAATATCTTTCGAATGTTCTATTTTGAAAAATTCAAATAATAAATTCAATAATACACGAAGTTACATTGAGAATAAGGACACACCCATAAAATAATACAAAAAAATTTTTTTTTTAAATTCTTAACATAATAAGCTTATTTCGGGAAATTTTATTATTCGTGCCTACATAAAACTGAAGCATAACGGAATAAAATTATTTATTGGTAACGATTCAATAGGTTCAGTTTCTCTCTGGTTGAGTTCCCTTACCATCAGGCTAACAATGGACGGTTTTTCTCCTCACCCACAAATACGCGTTAAGGCCTGGTTTCTTAGAAAACGTCGGCGTCAGCTTGAAATGAACGTTTACGTCTGATTGGTTAATTCATGAGTTTGACAGCATACGTCATCGAACGCTCAGATTGAACGACAACTGCTGTCCAAATCAACTGCAGTTGAATTACAACGTGACGTTAACAACAGAAGCAATGGCGGACAACAGAGCATTGAAATCAGCCAGTCCCGCAGTGG